CAAAGAGGACAGGAGGAGTCTGTGAGCAACCAGAATAATTTGGGTGTAGGATTCAGTTTTTAAGACCTTCCCTCCCAGCCTGAATTTTTTCCTTTTCCCAGCATTTCTATTAATATTAGAAGTTGATGGGAGTAAGAAAGCAACTGCTTTTAAAGGTACGGCACCCCCATGAATTTAAAAGGCCCTCAGGCATTCAAGATTTGTTCAGTTTGGACTGGTTTCTTTTGAACACCAAGCCAAGATACATGGGGGCAGCAGTTAGGTCATTGTGGAGCACAAAGCATGCTGGGAAAGCGGAAAGGAGGGGTGGGTTACAGCCTAGGGTATTCTAGAACAGGGTGCACGGGGCATCTTGGAGAAAACCACAGAATGGGGGATAAATGTAGAAAGGAACATAGTGTAGCTTGAATGTATCATGGACACAAAAATGGAGGAGGAAGTAGTCTTTTTTAATTAGTTGCTTGGCAGTTTAGGTTTAATGGTGTGTTTTCTTTCTCCATTTTCCTTCTGATCCCCATTTCCATGACTCACCAATTTAGGAAAAGCCCTTCACTTGTTTGGTTAGAAGGGAGCTTATGGGATCTGCATAGCTTTTTGAAGAAAGGGCCGGAAGAATTGTCCCAACTTTCCCTCTCTCCCTGCTCGATTTTTGCAGATTTAGGGCTTCATGAATGTTACATGTCCAATGAGTGTAGTGCAAGATATAGGGTCTACTGAGGCCAAAGTGCATGTTTACTTCTGCTGTCCAGGCAGGCATTGCATGTGCAAGAGGGAGGAAGTACATCCTTCACTGACACCAACACCATAGCCTATGCTATTTGCATCCCTTCCGACCTTCTGGGGTAAGTTCTGTGATCAAACCATGGTAATAAAATGACTCTTCTCAATCTCACTTGCTCACTGGAATCACCTGGGAAGCTTTAAAAATAGATTCCTATGCCAGAACTTATGATTTACTGATTGGGGTGGTGGCTTGGATATTTGGATTTATTTTTTCAAATATTTATTTATTTGACTGCACTGGGTGTTAGTTGAGGCTTGTGGGATCTAGTTCCCTGATCAGGGAGCAAACCCCTGCTGCCTGCATTGGGAGCTTGGAATCTTAGCCACTGGACCTCCAGGGAAGGACACTTTGGGATTTTTTAAAGCTCCCCAGAAGATTCTAACATGCAGTCAAGGTTGAGAACCACTGCTGTAGACTCACTTCGTTTTATATAGAAACATACTGACTTACATAGAATTTTAAAGTTTAGTTTAGATCAATAAATATTTATTAAGTGCCTACTCTGTATAAGGCACCATTTTGCCATGGCAAACTTTTGACACAGTCCATACCCACAAGTAGCTAAAATCTAGTGCAGGCAAGACTGGGCTAGTGCAAGGGGAGAGACCGGCAGGTATATAGAAGCTGTGTTTTATACAAAGTTCTATACAAAATAATCTCTTTTTCCAGACTCAAGAAATTTGCTACAGGATTTCAAATAAAGTCAACTATATTTTACTGGGGTGGTTGGGGGGACACCAGGAAAATATTTCATAGAGGCAGTAAAGTAGCCTTTGAAATGGCCTTTAAGCAATAGGTAAGATTTTCATAGATAGGGATTGGGGAGAAAGCATTCCAGGTGGAGGCAGAAAAGAGCCGAATGGGTGGAAAGCAGGGGCCAGTGTTAATTTTACTGGTGCACTGGGTGTGTTTTCTGAGTAATGGATGAAAAGCTTTGGGATCATATTGGAGCAAGGCTTGAATAGCATGGGCAGAACAGCTGGCCTGGGTTGGCCCCAGGGAATCACTTGGGGTTTGAAAATTAGAGGAATGATATGAATGAAGCAGTGCATGCTAAGTTGTGTCCAACTCTCTGTGACTCCTTGGGATGCGGCCCACCAGACTCCTTTGTCCATGGGATTTCCCAGGCAAGAATGCTGGCGGGGATTGCCATTCCCTTCTCCAGGGGATCTTCCTGACTCAGGGATTGAACCTGTGTCTGCTGTGTCTCCTGCATTGGCTGGTAGATCCTTTACCACTGAGCCACCTGGGAAGCCCAAATAAAACAGCTCTTTAGGAAGAATGAGCTGATGCTGAGATCTGGGCTAGACTTGAGTGGGCATAAAAAGCAGGACTAGAGGCAGGAAGACCAGTTAGAAGTCTCATCATGGTTAAAGTCAAAAGTGTTGAGGGAAATGAAGAAAATAATGGAAGTCTGAGCTGGGAACCACAAGGGGGATGAAACGAAGGCCTGAATATAAAAGAAATAATAAGAGAGTTAATATGATTTGTCAATTGATTAGATAGAAGAAGCAAAAAATGACTTAAATACTCCATTTGGATTACTAGGACTGTGATGGTGCCACTAATAGAAATAACTAGACTAGGATGATGAATGAATGGTTTATGAAAGGGAAGACCATGAATCTGATTTTGGATATGTTGAGTCCAAACTTACTCAGCAGAACTGAATTTTCTTATGTAAGTATTCCTTATTGTAACGAATTCCAGTAGAATTTGGATTTGTTCAACACAGTAGTTCTTAAGAAAGGGGATCCTGCCTCCCAGGTAACACAAGCAATATCTGAAGACGTTGTAGGTGGCCACAACTTGGGGAGTGGCTGCTCTCCTGACATCCAGTGGGTAGAAGCCAAGGATACTGCTAAACATCCTGCAGTGAGCAGAGGAGTCCCCCACAACAGCTAATTACCCAGCCCCAAGGGTCAACAGTGTCGAGGTTGAGAAACTTTGCTGTCACATAATCCAAAAGTTAAAATTCTAGGAATTTTAAAGCTTGTAATAGTTTAGGTTCAACAGTGCCATCTAGTGGTGAAATAGAATATTTATCCTAAAATACTCAGAAAGCTAAGACATGTACCCAGAAATGAAGAATGTATCCTCTCATGGGAGAACTGTCTAGAGTTTACATTAATAGATGTGATGAGAAGGTTGGGCGTCCAACTGTGGAGAAGCAATCCTGCAGTTAGAAAGTGCTCTTTGGTCATAAACAGATTTGATAATAAAAGCCAGTATGGAAACAATATATTCTAAGATGCATTCTGTATGGACTGCATTCTATGTCATTACAGTTGCCTATACCTTTACTATTGTTCCCATGTACATAAGAAAGGGAAAAAAATCTAATAATTCTGCTAAACAACTGGCTGAGATCTTTATTTCTTAAGGATGTAACCTATGGTATTTATTTAGAAATAAAGATTGAAAATAATTAAGATGATTTTTAGAGTCATGAAACATGTAGGATGAAGAGCACTAGAAAATTCCCTTTGACAAAAGGATTTTTGCCCCAAAAAGCAGAACTTGACATGCCTTTTATCTTACCTCTCCCGCTAGATTCTAAGCTTTCTGCAGGGAGGGACTGTGTCTTATCATATTTGTGTATGGCCCACAATCTCTAGCATAGCATCTTATACAGAGTAGACACACAAAATATTTTTTGAGTGAATGAATTTATTTTTATACTGGAAATCTTTGCTTTAAAGTGAAGAAAATTTCAAGCCTTTCTAAGCAATTACTATTTGTTCACTTGAGTAAGATGCCAGCTGAGGGTGTCTGGCTCAGAAAACACCAAAGACGGGAGCACAGGGAGGTGGTAATAGATGCTCCAATTCATTTCCCTAGTGAATCTGGAGCAGACTGTGCCATGAGGACCATCCATAGGGCAACGTTTTGACTGGTTCATGCATTGTAGATTTCTCTAATGTAAGATTCATTCATCCAACGAATATTTATCAAAGGCCTATTTTGTGCTAAGCAGTCTTCTAGGCACTGGGCTATCACAGTGAATGTAAGTCTAAAAATTCCTTAGGTGGAGAGGCAAATTTTGAATTGGTGAGTTAGAATAAAGAGGCACATTCCTTTTTCTTCCCACTTCTTCAGTTAGCATAGTATTTTCTGAATGAAAATGCAATTTGGCTAATGATTTCAAAGCAGTTCACAACTATTAGAGACCTCTCCTTCCACAACCACTGCTTTGCTCTGGTAAATGAAACAACAAAAACCATTCTCTCATCACTTCCTCTCCTTGTTTGCATTTTTTCCTTTCTCATTGCTTCATAGATGTGCAGACTTTGGGGGGCAAGGGGAGAAACAGGAGAGTCATTATTCTACAGGCAGATGATGATGATGCCTGCATAGTTTTGCAAGTGGCAACTGAAGCTAGTAGTTTTAAAAGTGACCCCGCAGAAGATTTCCTTCTGGTTGGTTTATTAACAACACTTTAGTTATAGAATCTATACATATATATTCAGAGAGAAAAACCACTCACCATCATATTCAAAAGAAAATGGTGCCGGCAGGCTGGTGGGTCCCTATTTTGGCTATAGAATAAATGCACTGTGCAAAATTGAGCATTCAGTGATTTTTTTTTGGGGGGGGGGGTGTCTCAGGCACATTTTGGCACTTTATCATGTGGCTCAATATACCCAGGATAAGCACGTCAAAAGTGCTTCTCTATGTATGTGAGTTGTATGGCACAGTCTCCTAGTGCTAAGTAGAAGCTGATTTAATGAATCCAAAACTTCTGCTGTGAATGCAATCAGTGAAAGGTGATGGACACCACCTCCCCCCGCCCCTTGCCTTTTCCCTTCGCATTGTTTGGTGAGTTAGGATACCTAAGGTCACTACTGTCTAACTCCTTTCAGCCCAAGCATCTGGCCCCTCATTGCTCTTAGGAGGGCCTGAACACCCCTAACACAGCAGGGGGCAGAGGAGCATGCTAACTTTTTCCCAAAGCAGTGGACAGCAGCTGCGATATATCTTTGGTTCATCCATATTATCTTCTCATTTTGTTGGAATCTTAAAAGGTACAGCCCTCAATCGCTCCCCAAGCTGAGACTGCAGGCGTTCCTAGATGACTTATTCAAAGCTCTCCTTGCCACAGGTCCGGCAGCGTGGAAACTTACTCAAATCCAGTTGCTTGGAAACCACCTTATCTGGTTTGTCCTCCTTCCCCCTCCACAGTCTGCCCCCTTACACAGCAGGCACCCAGCCATTCTTAAAGTTCGTCACTCTCCACTACACTCCGAGAAGAGCAGGAATACACCATCGTGCTTTCCATGGAGGAGAAAGCAGAGAAAATGTCAAGTCCTTTACTGGTGAGGGATCCATAGCGACTGCCACTGGGCCGGACGGTCATGGGTGGTGGGATCTGGTGATGCCACTGAGCTGGAAAATGGACCAAATCATGTGTTACAGTCAAAAGAATACAGTCTAGCAGATACACAGCAGGGGTGCATTCTGTCCTCATGCCAACACTTTGTGTGGGATCTTGGTAAATCGTTGAAAAATATGAATAGTTGGGTCTGAAATGCCTCATTTGTAAAAAAAGAAAAAAAATCAATAAAATCTCTCCTGTCCTGCTAGGAATAGGGAAATTGGGCTCGTGATCTCTTGATTCTGTAATACCAACCCCCATGATTCTAATCCAGCAAAATCTGGGACTATAAGAAGGAAGAGTGGGTGATAAGGGTGATATCTCAAAATTGTCTCCTGACCTAGCATCACTGACCTAGCATGGAGTCTACAGGGGCTGGGGTGGGGTGTGGGTGTAGAGAGACTTGTAGGGTCTCAAGGAAGGGCTCCTCAGAAGGAGGAGATGAGATATCTGTGGAAATGGAAGCCAAAAGATGAATCCAGACCTCTGACCAGTACTTACTGCTCATCCTAATCACCCTTACTTATCTACCTACTGCCCTAATCATGTTCTAGTTAGTTATAGCCAGAAGACTGAAAAGTAACATATGCAGTCAACCAGGATTGGGGGATAAAAGGGAATGTATTAGAATTTCCATGTTCATCAAACACTGTCCAAGGGAGATCCTGGTTTCAGCAGACAGGATCTTTAGGCTTGACCATGTCCTGAATGAAGTATCCATCCAAACTGCTCAGTCCTGGGTGTTGCCTCTGATTGAGAAAGTACCAAACAGCCCTCTCATCAGGTTTCCAAGAGCCTGGTGGTGGTGAATGGGGAACACCAGGTGGGAAACATTGATGCTCCGGGTCCTGGGGAATTATGGATGCTTGTAGCATTCCCAATTATAAATGGGTTCTTTGTTGATTTCATTATTTCGAATTAGTTTTTCGGGGTCTAAATGCCTCTCAGTGAACTGATTAAAATCAAATTTGGAAAGCTACAAAACAGGACAAAGCTTAATAGCGATTCCACAAGAGAGCAGGCAGGCACTCGGTGAAGCAACTGTGAGCTAGTCAAGCCCCTCGCTGCGGCCCCTCTGCCTCTTAGCTTTTCCTGGGCTCTCTCGGCATCTTAACCCGACAGGAGCTACGCTTAGAAGCCTTTCTTTGCGGGCGAGGAGAGATGCGTACTGTCCCGGTTCCTCGGGCAGGTTGTGGGGGGCGAAGTGGATTGATTTCAGCTTTAGTCCTCCATCCCTTCGCCCACTCCCGGGTCCCAACCGACGAAACAGCGCCTCCCGTTTTTGGAGCTATGGAATCAGGACCGGAGCCTGGGAGACGTGAGCCGGGATGAACTGAAGTGGGGGCTCCGCCATGGAAGAGCAGAATTGGGACAAGTGTCATCGGTTTCAGGGCTTATTGGTAGGAGTTTCTTGGTTGGAGACTTGTTTCCTTCCGACATGGTGAGGTGGGTGAAATGGTTAAGGCATTAGCCTAGATTAAGAAACATATCACTGGCTTCTCTTTCTCCGGAAGCTTCCAGGGGAAAGTACATTAGAATCAGCTTCCTTCACAACTGAATTTCAAGTCGACAGATTAGAGGGAATAACCAGAAAGCTATACATTTCCTCTAAATATGAGATTGAGGGAAAATGGCAGTCCAGGACTCCTATATGGTGCCAAAAAAGGGGGAAAGCATCTTGTGTGCACCTCTAAGTAGCAGGGGCCCCAGGTTCTAGGCAGAGTTACTTTTTCTTCTTTGTTATTCTGGTTCATCATATTAAATCAGTAAGGAATATTAAGCCAACCAATTAGGTTTTATAAAGAAAAAAAAGGATTACTCTTTTGGGTTAAGAAATATGTCTTTAAAATGCCAGTTAATGTCAAAATTATAGAGGAGAATAGTAGTGTACACAAATACATTGGTAAAGATTAATTTGTTAAATATTTAGAAACATGACTCGAAGGAATGATGTAAAAAAATCTGAATTTGCTTTCCAGCTGTAGTCACTTAACCTCTCTGAGTCTCTGTGTTTCTTTGGCATTTAGAGGAGGGTAACAACAATTACAATAATCTCATGGGTTTGGGACCATCTTAAGAGTGAAAGTTTCCCTTGTGGCTCAGCTGGTAAAAAATCTACCTGCAATGCGGGAGACCTGGGTTCCATCCTTGGGTTGGGAAGAAACTCTGGAGAAGGGAAAGGCTACCCACTCCAGTATTCTGGCCTGGAGAATTCCATGGACTGTATAGTCCATGGGGTTGCAAAGAGTTGGACACAACTGAGCGACTCTCAGGACAGCTCTCAGTTATTAATCTGATTGTGAGATGAGAGTAATAAATATTTGTGGAAGAATTAACAAATGATTAGGGTCTGGAAAATTCTGCCATGTGGAGTTATGACTGGGGAATTACAGGCATGGGGAGGGGGTTCCTGTGGGTGACCCATGGCAGCAAGGGGATGGCATGAAGATGCTGGGTGATCATAAGTACAAGCCCATGTATGCTCTGAAGTAGCTGTAATTCCTCTTATTAGAAGTACAGAAAAAAACCTGTTTTGGAAGAAGGTTAACCTTATAGTGAAGTGGAAGAGTGTACAACAGCCCTGAGGTGAGTAGAATAAAATGACTTAAGAAATCCATATCTTAAGCACAAAAATAAAAACCAATTAATTCATTTATGAAAACATACCACACCAATCCTAAAAGAAAAAAAAAAAGATTTTTAAGCTGCCTGTCGCATAGATCGGCCGATGCCAGTATACCTACCGTATATATCCAGCCTGGCAGTGCAGGACACGATGCCAGCTTCATTCTTGGCTGACAGTGTGTACCATCCAGCATCTGATTTCTTGGCTGGCTGAATGAGGAGGCAGACATAACCAGTTGTGTCCTGGTGCATGCTGGAGAAAAGAATGAGTATATTACATGGTATCTGGAGGGAGTTTAGAGTTCCCAAAACTCATTTTTGTATATAGTAGTTAATCCTAAAATCCTAGTTTATCCCTCCCCTCACCCTTTTCCCTTCAGTAACCATAAGTTTTTTCCTATGTCTGTGGATCTTTTCCTATTTTGTAAATAAGTTCACATATGATTTTTTCTTAGATTCCACATGTAAGTAATATCATACAACATTTCTTTGTTTGACTTACTTCATCTAGTATGGTAATCTCAAGGCCCATCCATATTACTACAAATGGCATTATTTCATTCTTTTTATGTCTGAGTAATATTCCACTGTATGTATATGTATATATGTATGTATGTATGTGTGTGTATAAATATATATAGACACTTAAGTTGCTTCCACATCTTGGTTTTTGTAGGTAGTGCTGCAGTGCTTTAAATTAGTTTTCATCTTTTCTGGATATATGCCCAGGAGTGGGATTGCTGGATCATGTGGTAACTCTGCTTTTGATGTTTAAAAGCATCTCCCTACTGTTCTCCCTAGTGATTTCTCCATAGTGGCTGCACCAATTTACATTGCCACCAACAGTGTAGGAGGGTTCCCTTTTCTCCACAGCCTCTCTGGCATTTATAATTTGTAGACTTTCTTTGGCTGGGTACCTTGTGGCATGCAGAGCTTCCCTGACCTGGAATCAAACCTGTGCCCCCGTGCAGTGGAAACACAGAGTCTTAACCACTAGACCACCAGAAAGTCCCTATTATTTGTAGACTTTTTGATGATGGCCATTCGGACTGGTGTGAGGTGATAGGTGTAGGTACCTCATTGTAGTTTTGATTTGCATTTCTTTCATACTTAGCAATGTTGAACATCTTTTCATGTGACTGATAGCTATTTGGATATGTTTTTTAGAGAAATGTTCATTTAGGTCTTCTGTCTGGTTTTTGGTTCAGTTGTTTGTTTTGATATTGAGCTGTATAAGGTGCTTACATATTTTGGAAATTAAGCCGTTATTGGTTACGTTGTTTGCAAATATTTCTCTCATTCTGTGGATTGTCTTTTCATTTTATTTATAACTTCCTTTGCTGTGCAAAAGCTTATAAGTTTGATTAGGTCCTATTTGTTTTTATTTGCTCTTATTTCTGTTGCCTTGGGAGACTGACCTAAGAAAACATTGCTATGGTTTATGTCAGAGAATGCTTAGCCTATGTTCTCTTATGGGAGTTTTATGGTGTCATGTTTTATATTTAAATGTTTAATTCATTTCAAATTTATTTTTGTGTATGGTGTGAGGGAGTATTCTAACTTCATTGGTTTACATTCAGCTGTCCAGCTTTCCCAACACTTGCCAAAAAGACTGTCTTTTCTCCATTGTATATTCTTGCCTCCTTCGTCAAAAATTAATTTACTCTAGGTGTGTGGGTTTCTGGGTTCTCTATTCTGTTCCATTGATCCATGTATATCTGTTTTTGTGCCAGAACCACTCAAGGATATCCAAAAGCATGGGATACCTTTCCATTTCTTTGAAGCGTCTTCAATTTCCTTTATCAGTGTTCTGAGCATATAAGTCCTTGACTTCCTTGGTCAGGTTTATTCCTCAGTATTTTATCTTGATGTGATTTTAAAAGGGATTTAAAAAAAAACTTTCTCTTTCGGATATTTCTTTGTTAGTGTAAAGAAATGCAACATATTTCTGTGTGTTAGTTTTGTATCCTGCTGCTTTGCTGAATTCGTTCATCAGTTCTTTTGCAGGGGGAGGATTTTTTTTTAAGCTTTATATTTTGTATTGGGGCTTCCCTGGTGGCTGAGTTGACCCAGGCTTGATACCTGAGTTGGGAAGATCCCCTGGCGAAGAAAATGGCAACCCACTCCAGTACTCTTGCCTGGAAAATCCCATGGACAGAGGAGCCTGGCAGGCTACAGTCTGTGGGGTCGCAAGAGTCAGACACAACTTAGTGACTAAATCACCACCAGAGCCAGTTAACAGACAACACTGTGATAGTTTCAGGTGAACGACAAAGGGACTCAGCCCCTCCAAACTTGCCTCCTATCCAAGCTGCCACATAACATTGAGCAGAATTTCTTGTGCTATATAGTAGGACCTTGTTGGTTATACATTTAAAATATATGGTTCATTAGTTCTAATAGTTTTGTGTGTAGTCTTTAGCGTGGAGGGAGTATTTCTTAATATAACCAACTGGGCATGTGCAGCATTTAACTTAGCTCAATTCGGGAGTAAATCTGCATGTCCTTTCCTTCTGGTTTCTCTAATCTGTAGTTCTTTTTTTTTTTTTTCATTTATTTTTATTAGTTGGAGGCTAATTACTTTACATCATTGCAGTGGTTTTTGTCATACAGTGAAATGAATTAGCCATGGATTTACATGTATTCCCCATCCCGGTCCCCCTCCCACCTCCCTCTCCACCGGATCCCTCTGGGTCTTCCCAGTGCACCAGGCCCGAGCACTTGTCTCATGCACCCAACCTGGGCTGGTGATCTGTTTCACCCTAATCTGTAGTTCTTAACCTTGACTGCGTAGTGCAATCCTGCATAATTATACCAGAATTTCAGGCTGGGTTTAACATGTTTTGTTAATTTACACTGAAGTGTTAACTCAAGTATATTCTCTGTTCTTGCTTACGTTTTACCAGAGGAAAATCCTGACTTTTTTATACTTAGACTTTTTAAATGCCAAGATTCTGTAAAAGCCAATATCCTTTAGAACAAATTTAGTTTACTGTGAAGAAATAATTCTCAGTAATAATAATTTCTCAGTGGCAGTTTCTGTGCACAAGCTGCCCTTGTGGCATAAAAACGAAATGGCAAAGAATTAAGGATGGTTAGGGGAAATTGGGGTTTCCCTAGTGGTTCAGATGGTAAAGAATCTGCCTGCAATGTGGGAGACCTGGGTTCGATCCCTGGGTTGGGAAGATCCCTGGAGAAGGGAAAGGCTACCCACTCCAGTATCCTGGCCTGGAGAATTCCATGGACAGAGGAGCCTGGCAAGTTACAGTCCGTGGGGCCGTAAAGTGTCAGACTTGACTGAACAACTTTCGCTTCACTTCACCTCAGGGGAAATTAAACAAGGCACCCATTTAAAGAACCTGGATCCTTAAATTTACTTTAAAAACAGGCATGTAGTGACAGATGGAAAAGGAGTATTGCCATAATGTTTTGTTTGGCTTTTTTTTTTTTTTGCCTTATTTTATTTTAGCTTTTTAGAGTCAAAAGATTTTGTCTGGGTACTAGTATGACTCATGACATGACACATGACAAAAAGACAAATGACACAAAAGGGCACGTGACAAAAACATGCAAGAGCTTTATAAATCCCTCAAACCTTTTTAAGCATAAAAATTAAGGTTTTAGAGACTTCCCTGGTGGTCCAGTGATTGAGACTCCGCATGTTCACTGCAGGGGGGCGTGGGTTTAATCCCTGGTCAGAGAACTAAGATCCTGCATGTCATGTGGTACAAAATAATAATAATAATAATGTTTTTAAATGGTGGGACATTATACAATGGACTAACCCTCAGCAACAAAAAGGAATAAATTCTTGATAAGCACAGTTACATGGATAAAGCAAATGCATTATGCCAAGTGAAAGGAGCCAGATTCAAAAGGCTGAAGACTTATTTGGGTGGCCTGATGAGCTTTGCTGAACTTGACCAAGTGTAGAGGCTGTACCTGATCCTCTCTCTGGTGAAAGGGATGGTCTCATTGTCTTTCTTCCAGTAGAACACGGGTGGAGGCATGCCTATCACCCGGCACTCCAGTCTCACGGGGTGGCCTTCTGGAACACCACTGTTCTGCAGTTTCTCCAGGATTACAGGTGCTTTCTTTACTTCTTTGGCTGAATGAGAGAAGAGCCATGCTAGTTTGAATAGTAAGTGCCTTGGGCTCTATGCCTCAAATTCAGGACAGTCCTGGAATCTGAGTGAGCACCCACCCACCTTACCTCTTCTTTAGAACACTTCTCAAGTTTCTTAGTGAAGATCACTGCCTTGATAAAAGCTCCAAAAATTATTTTAAATAGAAATGAGAAAAATGCCTCCGCCTTTTTTAAAAATTTAAAAATTGCATTTTATTTTTTCTGCCTATCTTTTGAGAGACAACGCTCAAGGATTTGGGTAACACATGTGGGATGCAAATGGTAGGTGTGGAATAAGGGAGTTTCTTTTATTGCTCAGTAGTAAACGCTGAAAAATGATATATTTTATGTACTAAATATATTTTGTTTTCTTTTTTAGAGGAGGTTATTTTGTAGAAGGTATATTGATTTTCACTCAATTTTTTACCTTAGGAAATTTTATTGCTCCATAAAAATTGAAAGATGTATACTATTTTTTTTTAAAAGACACACCACAGATTATGTTTCCTAAGGAGGTATTTTTTTTTTCCCAGTAGAATCAGTTAAGACAAAGACATCTCCTATCTCAGGGTTCCAGAGGCCATACTTTAGCAAAACAGTGGGGAAAAAGTAAAACTGCAATCAGTGTATCCTCGCAGAATGAGCTTTTGCTACTCTGTTGGGAGAGGGGATTAAGAGTGGAAAAAAAGAAGATAATATAGAGGAAACAGCTACTAGCCTATACTAGCCTAGAGGGAAGGTTAACATTCTGATGCCATCCTGATTTCTTTCAGGGGCCATGCAAGGGAGCTAGCAGGAGAAAGTTCAATGGGAGAATTCATTCATTCTGAAAGCTAATTCTAGCTGGACTAACACCCCAAGGGGCTGACACCTCCCAGGGCACGATGACTGTAGGCATTAGTGTTTGTTGACATCATCTTGTAAGGTAAGGGTTCATTTGTTTAGTTATTGATTGAATGCCTTCCATGTTCCAGGCACTGAGTCAGACATCAGAGATGCACAGAAGAACAAGCTTCTATGGCCTCAGTGGCTCATAGTGTCTTCAGGGAGGCAAAGAGAAAACAGTTACACAGAAGCCATGAGTGCCATGAGTCTCTCCTTTACTGAGTGCTCTGGGCATAGAGGAGGATGTGCCTGCTGGGTCCGCGGTGCCTTCGTGGTAGCATTTGAAATAAGTCTTAGAGAATGAGTAGGAGGTTGCTAGGCAAAGAAGGGCATTCCTTGTAAAGGGACCATTAATGCAAAGGCATAGAAGCTTGGGGTAGGGGGAGACCCTGGAGTGATGAACTGTAGGGCAAGTGACCTGAATTTAGTGATAGTCAATTAGTAATTAATTGATTGATTAAGTATTACAATGACTATCATTTATTGCAAGCATGATATACACAAGGTACCACATTATGATTTTGGCTTACTGATATGTTTTCGAGAGCAATGTAGGAAACATGGCCCTTACTACAGAGAAGGGGAAACAGATGAGGCTCCGTGGGGCAAAGGACAAAGGAATTACGTCAGAGGCTCTGCATATTTGGGCAGTAGCTTTGGAGGGAGTCATGTTTAGGGGTCCCAGCAGCAAACCTTACCTACTACAGTGAGCTCCAAGCTAAAGGAATTCTGCCCAGTTTTGTTGGTAGCAACGCAGGTGTAGGTCCCCGCGTCGCGTTGAGTGAGCGGGTCAATGAGCAGAGAGTGGACTCCGGTCTCCCTGACCAGCATCTTGTGGGAGGCGTCGGGGAGGACAGGCTGGCCATTGAGCAGCCACGTCAGCTCCGGGGGCGGTAAGCCACTCACCTAATAAACAAGAGGACAGCTGAGGCAAATGACAGACTGATGACAAGCAGATTTATTTGGTGGCTGACTTCTTCATCCTGATCTGGCACCACATAGATAGCGAGGGAATGTCAGTGGTGAGAAACCTCTCTACAGGGGCGTCAGGACAAGAGGGATCTGGATGGATGGGCATGTGAATTTAAACTGTATAGTATTTGGACCCCAGTTCAGGTAGTGATTTTATACTAGATTAAAATGAATAAGAATTAAAAAGCTAAATAGATAAAATAGGCCTGTAGTGTCAGTTTCAGAGAGAATATATTGCTTACATACCTAACAACCAAGAGGTAGCCAAGAAAGGGGCAGACATTAAACCACTGTTCTCAAAGCTGGCTGTGTGTCATAACCACATGGGAATATTTGAAAATCCTGATGCCCATTTACTACATTAAATCAGAATCTTTGGGGAGTGGACCCAGGATGGATTTCTTTTAGGATTTAGGGTGGGAGAAATTAACAGTCCATCCCAAATATTATTTAGGTAACTAATTTGAGGGCAAGATCCACCTAGAGGAGTGGATTCTATAAATACTTAACCATAAACCTTTACTAATTTGCATCTTAATCTCCATAGCATTCTTCAGTGTTGGGGCAGAAGGAGAACTTAAGTTTCTGTTCATATTGAGAACTATCCATGCCGTTCAACTGAACCCAGTTTCTGGTGGAAGAGTTAGAATATATTATAGACTAGTTAAAGGTGATGGATGTAGGCTAGTATTAGAAACCAGATTCTGTTTTCATAAACTGCTTTGGAGCCAGTGACTATAATTTTTTCAAAGGCTGTACCTCATAGCAGTTCATTTCAAGGATGTAAAAATCATCCTTATGTCTTTATGGTAATAAAGACTTTTCAGGTACCATACGGAAGATGTCTGAACTACATCACCTCTTTGGTTGTCTTTTACAAACAGAGTAAACTTGATATGATATCAGTGTAGTTTTTATTAAGATATAATCACTTAAAAGGCTTTTTGAAATACTTTCATCTGGTATTAAATGCTCCAAAAGAACCTTATGGGTGGAAAAAAGTGATCTCTTTCTCTCTTTGTTCCTCAGTCCCCTTTCACCAAAACAAAAAACAAAAACACCCCAAAACCAACTATAAAACAAATACAAACAAAGATAGGTGCATACAAGCAAATAAATACAAAATATGAATAGGTGGTGCTACAGGCTACCTTACAGTCCAGGCGACAGAGGCGCCCCTCGTGAGCCACCATGTCCCCAGGAGCCTGCAGGAAATGTGGTCGGAAAAAGCGTTCCTGTAGGGGTTCTTTGTCTCTTTCTTGCACTCGGGACCTTCCTCTGAAACAGCAGGCGTGTTCAGGCGTTAAACAGTAGAAACCAACTCATAAACATATGACAGTATAAGCATTTAGGCATGGCTATAGGGCTTGGAGAAAGATTTCTTTGGGGGATGGGGGTAGGGGTTGCTGGACCATAAAGAAATAATAAGTAATAGTGTGGAGCTGATGTGAAAAAAGAAAGTAGTAAGTATCTCATCCACTGTAGGATTATCGTGTGAGATCTATAATTAAATAAGCAGGCTTTAGCTTTTTTCTCTGTGAAGTCATTCTGGGTTTCTGGGTTAAGTGACTCAGCTCCCCTTGCCTTGGGTTTGACCAGTTGTTCAAAAGTTTCAAAATAAACAAATAAATCAGTATTCAATCTGAACCTCCAATGAGAGCCAAAAGAGAAGTCCTGTTTATTACTCAGAATGAGGCAGCTGCAGTCCCTGTGTCTCTGAGTAATAAAATGTAACCTGGCTTATAAATTCTGCCAGACCATTAAAGATGATCATGAACCTAAACTGATTAAGACTGACCAACAGTAACAGCTGTTCTTGAAGAAGGGAAAAAAAAAAAAAACTGAAGAAGAAGGTATAGTTGTAACGGTAGTGAAATACTGTATCTGAAACGTAGGTCACTATTTTTGTTCCTTTGGTAAGTCTAATTTAATTCATGCATGTCAGCAACTATGAAATGCTCTGCTAAGACTTTGTGGCACCATACGACTCAAGAGAAAGCCAGGCTCTTTCTTCTTAACATTAATAAACTCAAAGAGGAGGAAAGGTAGTTGCTATGTTGGAGACAATTGTTATGTTGGAGATAATAACAACAACAAAAATCTTTTATTAGTATACATATACTTATTAACAGTTTTTGTTTTTTAAAGAAAAGGTAACTTAGTTCACTCTGATTTATATATTATATGCACAGGTGCTACTGATGGTTACAAAATTTGAACATTAAAAATGTGCTGTGAACCAATACTTCTCAAATTTAATACATTTGTGAATCACCTGGGGATCTTAGTAAAATGTACATTCTGATCAATAGGTCTGGTTGGGGCTTGGTATTCTGCATTTGCAACAAGCTCCCAAGTGGTGCCAATATTTCTGGTGGAGAACTACACTTTAGGTGACAGTTTATAGGCCCAATACTTCAGTGCTCATTGCAGCAGGTGGATGCTTGGGAGGGGCTGGAGAAGGGAGATTCTTACTGTTTTTACCTGTGAGACTGACCAGCAGCTGTTAGTCGACTTCGGATGGGCAAACCTTGTACCATCAAGTGGCCAGAACAACTGATTCTCCCCTGAGAAACAGAAAATGAAGGAGATTAAAATAAAAAGAACTCCCTACTTTTTCAATATATATATACATTTTTATGGACCAAAATGTTATTAGCTTTTGACTATTATGAGTTTTTTGGAGAGGGAATAAAAACAATGTAACTCTTTAAACTGCTGTTAATATTTCAGGGGAAAGGATTTTTAAGAATATTGTGATGACCTTCATTTTTAAGCTGAAAATGAACAGACACAAATGTAAAGAAAATTGAGTTCTTATGCACTTAATATTTTTGCAGACACATGGTCAAATATTTTTATGCTTTCCTCAATAGAGATTATCTTTAAAACTAACATTTTTATAGGAGTTGGTGAGAGTAGAAATTATAGTTCTGTACCTCCTATTCTCATAGTAGTTGGAAATATTTATTCTGCCATATTTTTTTTCCAATTTTATACTTATTTATTTATTTATTGGAGTATAATTGCTTTACAATGTTGTGTTACTTTGTGTTATACAACAATGTGAATCAGCTATATGTATACATATTTTGCCATGTTTTTAAGGGGGATTTTAAGTCCTGATCTCTTCAGAAAAGGAAAGTGAAATATTATGACTTTCCAACTTTTACCAAAAAAAGAAGAAAAAATTTTATGAGTGAGGGCTATTCACAAGTAATTTGCTTATTCTCTAAAGAACTAAAAATAGCAAATCATTCTTTGACAGAATAATTTATTGACTCTTCAAGAGAGTCAATGAGTTGATAAACACAAGATTTACTCTAGAGATCTGAGGCATATAGTTAGTGACTAGATAGTACTAATGTCCTTTGACAAAGGCTGAAGAGTGGAGTGACCCATCAATGGCTGACTAGTCTTGAAAATTGTGATCCTGTGTTCTAGTTACACACAGTCTCAGTGCTCCTCATTCATTTTCCTCAGCAATCCTTAGTAACTTGCACTTCTCAAGCTTTATCCACATTGATATCAACTGCTCCTTCCTCAGAATGCGGCACAGCGTGGAACCCTGCGTCTCCACCTGGGGGTTGGCGGCCATGATGGTATAGTTGCCGTCGTCGTCACTGGTGGTGGAGTCAATGTGCAGAGAACATGTCCCGTCTCCTTCTCGCTTCATTTTGAAGTGCTCATTTCTCTTTGAAATCTGCTTCCCGTCTTTGAACCAGTAAACCTGAAATGAAAAATAGACAAGGAGAATATGCACGGTTCTGTACATCTTTAGAGGATCATGATATAAGGAGTAGGATAAGGCCTGGATGGATTGCCATCTCTACAACTAGTAACCCATCCTTTACAAAACAGAGAAAAATTATCAGACGCATTATAATAACAGTATAAGATGCTCCTCCACTTGTACATACAGAATATTTAAGTAAAAAATTACAAATAATTTAGGATGGAGAGAAAGCTTTTGATTATTTTTATTGTACTTTATAATTAAAAAGCCACCCTAAGGGCCAGGCAGGTCTTTAGAGGCAAAATAATGAAAACTGGGATAGCTTGAAACTTTTCCTGCTAGAAGTTCCAGATCTCAGGGCCTAGAATAGCTGACCTTACTTGAAAGGCTAGTATGGTGTGTTATATCAAGTGGAATGAGGCCAGGATTCACTTGCTGAATTCCTCATCTGACTAAAATTTAAGTCTACATAATTTTCATGTTAAGTTCTACATGTATCAAGGGGAATCTCTGAAAGACAGGTGAGTTAAAGTACGGTAGCAGTTGACCTTCTCTGCATTTCCTGGTTACCAAACCATACATGCTAAAGCCATGTTAATGTTTGTGAAAACAGAGTGAAGAGATTCCCTGCTGTAGACATACCGGGTGTAAATCCTCTCTCAGCTGACTGCCAGAAAATCTGGTGACTCATAAGATTTTTCACCAGTCAGTGGTAACAATATGACATTTTCTGCATTTACCAACCTAATAGTAATGATACAAAAATAGCTCGCTTTGTACAACAGGTTGGCTGTGGATATTCAGTAGATGTTAAATATAAAGAAAAGTATCAGATTGGTGAATTTGATGGTTGAGAGGATCAATAGCCCCAAAGAGAGGATCATGACTAACAAAATTTATTTTCAACTTTTACAAAAATTTTAACATGCCCATAAGCAATCTGATTTGTTTTCTGCCTATTTGATGATTCTATTCCTGATTGTATCTTTGTAGTCAGATTATCTGGCCTTTGTTAATTTTCTGGTATTGGTTTTTATTCTCTGTATAGATATTTTACTAGAGTCTGATAAGGCTTTCTTGAGGGCACTGAGTCTATAGATTTGCACTGTTGGTTGACTGACTGGCTGTTCATCTTCCCCTACCTTTGGGACAGGTATCCCAACAATTTTGCAGGTGAATGTCACTGGAGAGCCTTCGGTGACCCGGAAGTGCTTGAGTCTTTTGTCAAAGATGGGAGCTATACACTTGCCCGTGGGGATCTCATCATGTTGGATTTCATCGTCTGATTCATCAACAGGGGTGCGTTCCAAGCGAAACTCTATTTCATTCATCAGCCTCTGCTCAAAGCTTGAAATTTTGTACTCCTGTCAAAATGGCAAACATGTTTTAATGTCAGTTTCTATGGGTGAGGAAGAATGTGTTCATCAGTATAATTTGAGGATGAAACTTTTTAAGATTCAAATGTTAGGTTCATATCATGGAACCTCCATAAACCGGGCATGTTCTATTTCCACTTCCTCACTACAGAGCACTAAAGGGATTTGGGTGTCTACTGCAATCCCAAAATGTTCTGATTCCTCACCTTCATCATGGAGTCCCAGTAGAATCTTGTAGGGAATGGAATGAAGATGAAGTGTAATTTCTATAGCTACTAAAAGTGTCCATCTTGATATATAGAACTGTCTATGTGGTGTTTTGGCAAAATTATTCTGAATTGTATTTTAGTACTTGCCTTCATCACCAACTTCCTGTCTCTACCGGGTTTTGCCATCAGAAAACTTGTCTTCATAAATCTCCATTGACCCCATGCTTGCCTTCACAGTATCTCTGCAGCCCTCACAACAAAACTATTTGAGATAATTTTCTCTCGTATAGCCTCATTCCCTTGTCACCTTTTCTTTCACTAGCACACTCCAGTTAAGTTTATGTTCTCACAGTTCTGCTGAGATTGCTGCTGTCAGGGTCTTCTTATTTGCCAAATCCAGTTGTCACTTATCTGTTCTTGCCTTACCTGTCTTCTGAGCAGCATTAACACAGATGGCTACTTTCTCCATTAAAAAAAAGTTATTTATTTATTTGGCTATGCCAGGTCTTAGTTGGAGCAGGCAGGATCTTTGATCTTCGTTGTGGTATGTGGGAGCTAGTTCCTTGACCAGGGATCGAACCCAGCCCCCTGCATTGGGAACAAGAAGTCTTAACCTCTGGACTACCAAAGGAGTCCTTACTTTCTCCTTTTAAAAACATTTCTTTGTTGCTGTTGATTTCCATGACACTGTATTGGTTTTCCTTCCCTTTCTCTAGCTGTTCCGTATCAGTTTCCGTTGCTAGCTCTTCCTTCTCTGTCCTAAATTGTCTCATCCAGTCTCACAGCTTCACCTGCCTTCTGTATGCTGATGACTCCAAATCCATGTCTCTCAGTCTGATCTCTCTCCAGAACTCATATACCCAATGATCTACTCTATATCATGAAAGTCATAAATCCACAAATTTATTCTGTGTCATGGCTTGGGTACCTCATGGGCACTTCAAACGTAGCCTGGTCCAAGCGATACACACTTTATTTCTGTTCCCCAGAGAATATACTCCAACCCTGCTCTTTCCTATTTTAGGAACTGGCACTGCTATTCATCCACTTGGTTAAGTAGTTAAACTGGTGTTTCTCACATTAGCTATGGTGAAAACAAAATGTTAAACATTGGTATTTTTCAACCTGTTCTTCTTGTAAAATAAAAATGAATTACTAGAAAAATGAAATATTAAAAGAATGCAAAATTATGTTTGATAGACATAAAATTTCTCTGTCAAATGCTATAGAAATTTCTTATTGGTTACTTTCAATTTCCACTGTTATCTCAAGGTGGAGAGATGACAGCTTGCAAATTGGCATAGGTTTCAGACCATGCTTTGAGTGCACCAAGTTAACTTAAATCTAGAACTTATCCTGGATTCCTGTCATTCCCTCTCCTGCCCTGTTCCATCAAGCTTAAATGTCACCTCCGTAAAACAGCCTTCCCAGGCATTTCATCTAAAGTAACTCCCTGTTGTAATTCTCTGCAGAGCATTTCTTGCTACCCAGTATTATTCCTTCTTTAAAAATTTTTTTAAATATTTATTTTTATTTATTTGGCTGCACCAGGTCTTAGCTGCAGCACGTGGGATCTAGTTCCCTGACCAGGGATCAGAACCTGGGCCCCCTGCATTGGGATCACAGTGTCTTAGTCACTGGACCGCCAGGGAAGTCCCTCCAGTATTATTCTTGCTTGTTTGTTTATTGATTCAATGATTGAATATCTCTAAGCATGTTAGCATCCAAAGAGCAGAATTCTTGTTTGTCTTTCTTTCCACGATGCCAACAGTACGTATAATAGTGAGTGCCTGTCTCATGGCAGGTGCTTCTTGAGTACCCAAAGAATGGAAGAATACATGAATGGCATGGAGGCTTCACTTGTTCCTGCTCTACTGTATCTTTGAGGAATCCAGAACCAGGTGCCTGGGGTGAGGATGAGACCTTTGGTTAAACTTGTGACTCTAGTTAACCATGATTTTATGATTTGGGTAGGTTCCATGCAGATGATACTAGGATGCCCCTGAAATGAATTTGGGAGCACCAGGCTGATTTGCATCTGCCCCTAGTCATAGGCAGAATAATTGAGCTCAGGACTCATGAGATGTAATCTCAAGCTATTAAATCACATCACTCATGTCTTCTAGTTATTGTTTTATATATATCACTGCCTGAATTTGTGTAGAATTGGCACTTAGGAAACACAGAAACCAAATATTTCTTGGTTTTAATTTCTCAGAACCAATTTTAAATCTTTCTTCTCAGACATATCTTAGACTGGGTAAACAAAATAAATCTACAGCAGCTCTTTCAGGGCAGAAAAAAAATAAGAATCTCCAGTTAAGTGTATTCATTTTTCATCAGATAACTCAAACCAATTAAAGTAAAAGATGTTCACTTCTAATTTGAAACCTAATTTAGTTTAAAAGTATTATGACTATTTTCTACATTTTGGGAGTTTTTTTTAAGTTAATACTTAAAACTTCCAGCTATCTACCTATTAGTTTGAACCATATGAAATTGCCATTTTTTCAGGATTAAAAGTGGTGTAATATCCTGGGCATACACATTGAGGAAACCAGATCTGAAAGAGACACGTGCACCCCAATGTTCATCGCAGCACTGTTTATAATAGCCAGGACATGGAAGCAACCTAGATGCCCATCAGCAGACGAATGGATGAATGGTACATATACACCATGGAATATTGCTCAGCCATTAAAAAGAATTCATTTGAATCAGTTCTAATGAGATGGATGAAACTGGAGCCCATTATACAGAGCGAAGTAAGCCAGAAAGATAAAGACCATTACAGTATACTAACACATATATATGGAACTTAGAAAGATGGTAACGATAACCCTATATGCAAAACAGAAAAAGAGACTCCTATGTATAGAACAGACTTGTGGACTCTGGGAGAAGGCGAGGGTGGGATGTTTCAAGAGAACAGCATCGAAACATGTATATTATCTAGGGTGAAATAGATCACCAGCCCAGGTTGGGTGCATGAGACAAATGCTCGGGCCTGGTGCACTGGGAAGACCCAGAGGGATCGGGTGGAGAGGGAGGTGGGAGGGGGGACCGGGATGGGGAATACATGTAAATCCATGGCTAATTCATTTCAATGTATGACAAAAACCACTGCAATGATGTAAAGTAATTAGCCTCCAACTAATAAAAATAAATGGAAAAATAAATAAATAAAAGTGGTATAATATCAACAATTTCAAACTATTCTCCCTAATACTATATAATGAACATATTTTCCATAAATACATTAACTAGTCTTACAAATTTGAAATATTTCCTATTCTTGACAATTTAAAAGTCCCACGAGGAGTACATTTTTCATCTTTGTTGAATTGCATTCATGCTCCTAAACAGGTATTTTTCCTTTTAACAGATATGTTTATTTTTTGGATGCTTAGGAATAAAACAAACGAGTTATTTTATTCTCTTACTATGTGAGGTTGTTACTAAGTTGCTTTATTATTTTAAAAATAATAGTCAAATGAATGATTCTCATAGTTTGCAAAACTCACATGAGATCCTGGAGTTCAGGAAAACCCAGGCTTTTTGTGAGGGTGGCAAGAGGTCTTAGGTTCTACGGCAGCTAATCATGTTTTGTTTAAGTCCCCAGATTCCCAATCCATTCCATACCACCTGTAGCCACTATTTTAGTGGAGTCCTTGATCCAAGCTAAAGAACCTTCTCTGCAGCTTCTTCTACCACATGATGAGTGAGGGCTCGTCAGTTCCTGGCTTTCCATATTGAAAGTATGAACTAATTTTTCCAAACAAGTATTGTGCATGGTGGTAAGTTATGATTATGTGTATACTTCAGGAACAAATGGGTGATAGATAAGGCTTTGAGTACTTGCAGCATATCTTTATAACTGGGATGTTTACAAAGATGCACACCATGTGCAAAGCAGGAATAAGTGTAGGGTTTTTTTGAGGGGGGGAGGGGTGCTTTGCTCCTGAGAGTTGGTTATCCCAGGAATAACTACTCCTCTTATACATAAATTAAGGTTGTCATTCCAAATTGTGACTGGAGAAAACTTGAGATTCAAGTTTTATAAGGACATTTGCAAATAAGCAATATGTTTAAGTTAAATTTGAATGTGCTTTCTGCACTGTTCTCACAAAGGTGGTCCTACTGACGCGCTGTGGGTGGCCTGCACTTTGAATTTCCAGGACTGGATTTGTGCTGTGTTCTCCATTTTTCCTTGCTTTGTCCGTTTTGTGAGTATAAACAGGAGTTTCTGTGAAGTCTACTTGTAGGTGATGTCTGTGCTCAAAGGAGAGAATGTTTTTCTGTGTAAATCTGGTCTATGTGGCCAGCAAGTCAATGACATATGGCCCATCCTTTCCAGGCTTATGTTAAAGACCTTAAGTGAAAATGAATTGCACAGAATTTCAGTTGCTCTATGAAAGAAAGTGAAAAGCTAAAAAATAACTTCAGAAGAATATGCCACTTGAAAATATAGGTTCTTTTTTTTTTTTCTTTGAAGATAATCCTCTTAATGCCGATAGTTTGACAACTTGAGGCATTTGGTTTCCGGGACACATCTGCAGAGATTTCCTTCAAATTGTCAGAGTGGTGGAGAGTACTTTCCTTCTGCTGCGAACCGCAGTGTCAGGACATACCCCAATCAGACACGGCATTGCCAAGGTTCCAGATTTCGAAAACATGGAGCATGATCTGACACAGTGCCCTGAGCTGGGTTCTGAGTCTGGGCTTTGGGGCAAATAATCAAGTAGGATCAAACCAGTTGGAAGAGCCTGCTCAAAGGGCTCCCAACCAACTCTGGGTATAGTGTGTGCTAAAGGAAGTTGTATGTGTTAGAGGAAGTATTCTCCTTTGTTCCTGGGACAGCCCACAGTATGGGCAGCAGATCCAAGATTCCTAGATAAACTTTAACATACACAAAGGATGTCTTCTTTTACCATGTATCTAATACTACATGCCACCTTCAATAGAAATAACCAGGCTTCATAGCTCCCCGCCCTGTCCTTCCTGCCAGATTCTTAGAATACTATAATAGGCACTGGGGGTACAGCATTCTATAAAACAGACTCTACTGTGGAGGAGGTAGACCTCCTTTTAAAGTATTTAAAAATACTTCAAATCCAAATTTTGTCTTTAAGAATAAATAATCACTAAATGATTCACAGATTTACCCATAAAGCTTCAGTTAATGCCAGAGCTTTGCTTAACTTCGCCATTTTTTAAAGTTTTCATCTTCTTAGTCAGTTGATTCGGAGAAGGCAATGGCACCCCACTCCAGTACTCTTGCCTGGAAAATCCCATGGATGGAGGAGCCTGGTAGGCTGCAGTCCATGGGGTCGCTAAGAGCCAGACGCGACTGAGCGACTTCACTTTCACTTTTCACTTTCATGCATTGGAGAAGGAAATGGCAACCCACTCCAGTGTTCTTGCCTAGAGAATCCCAGGGACGGGGGAGCCTGGTGGGCTGCCGTCTATGGGGTCGCACAGAGTCGGACATGACTGAAGCGACTTAACAGCAGCAGCAGCAGCAGTTGATTAAAATAGATTATTATCATGGTGGATAGTATCTATAATTAGGTATAATCAGAATCTCTGTAGTCAAGTGAGATATTTTCTATAGAGATGCAACAAATCCAAAATTTTCTCCTTGGTCAAAAGTTTCATTATTCTATGTGAAACTAATATAAATCCCAGAGTTGTGACTTAATTCAACAGATACTCGCTGGGCACCTACTCTGGGCCAGACACAGCAGGGGTACGGCAGTGAGCAAGACCCTCCTCCCCCGACTCCAGCTCTCAGGGAGCTTGTGACTAGTACATCCTGGGTGAACTCACAGCAGATGACATGGGGACACTTCACTATTCCATCACTCAGGATCCTACCATGCCCATGGTGAATAACGTAAGGCCAGTGACACATGGTCCTCTTATTAGAAAAGAAACAGATGGCAAGATTATTTGCGCTCAAGGGAGAATTTTCATAAAGAATTCATGGTAAGAGATGAAAGAAGTAAGATTTAAATAGAAGAAATGACTAAGGAGCTTAGAGAAGAAGGAGATTAGAGGGAAAAAAGGCAGAGCAAGAATTAGGTACTTATATTTTTTCCTTTTTGTCATACAGGGGAGTATCTGGGAGCCACACTTTTTAAAAGTTTTCATTTGAAAAATGGGAGGGAGGATCAGAATAAAGAGATGGGGAGATTTCCAGAGAAGAGAGGTCAAGGATAAAAGTTGAAATAAGACATTAAATGTCTAAAGCTAATGTGGGAGTAAAAAAATAGATCATCTTGATTTCCATGTACCTAGAATGCAGGTATAGACAGCTGTCAGTACTCATGTTTCTTTATGATTGTTTTCCACTTTTTCTAAACAAATTTTCTTCTTCACTTCCTCAGTGGGCCACAATACATTTAGACAGTTCTTCATGACTTTTTCACTGTTGTTTCCCAAGACAGCAGTGGACAAAACAGTGTTGTAATATGGCCTCAAAACTTCCTCAGATCAACATCTACCAACCTAATGCAAGCATTCCATCTCAGATAGCTCCTTAGTTTCTTGAGTTGCATTATGTAGCTTGGCTTTCATTTCATTTCATTTCATTTCATTTCATTGGCACACAATGCTGTGTAAGATCAATTCTGTAATTAACATACTGTAATAACTCTAAGAATAATAATTGTCAGAAGAACACTGACATGTGTCACACTTTTCAGATGGAGAGGCTTGAGATACTTTTTGAGACTCCAAGTTCCTGCTATTAGCCTTGAATTTAATTCATGATGGAGGTTTAATAGAGTTCTACTGGATTTATAGCCCCCCACTCATGGAAATTCATGTTTACAGGTACTCACAGTTCAGATAAGAAAAAAACCTTACTTTGAATTGGGCAATGGATTAGCATGAATATCCCTACAGAGTAACCATAAAGGAAAAATCAGACAGACTGTGTGCTGACTTGGTATCATTTTTACAGGGTTCTAATTGCTCCCTGTCTGAGTTGTAAAAGACAGTCTGAACACAGCTCTGATTTCAGTGACACTTAGAAGGATTAACAACCACAACTGTGATGACAGTATTATAGGAAAACAAATCTGTGCTAGACAGAGCAACGTTTATGGGGTTTGGAGGTAATTGTCGAAAAACTGCAGAAGATTGCAGAGGTTCAGGAAAAATGTGTAAGTGACTTGGAAACCAGGGCTCTGGTTCCTGTTCTACCACTGACCTAACAGTTTGACAACTGTGCCTCAGTTTCTCTATCTAGAAGATGGAAGAGAAGAATAGTTGCCTTGGTATTTGCCTCCCAGATATGTATGAATTTGATGAAATGATATATGAAAAGTGTACTTGATTATGGCAAGCTTAAATATCCTGCTTCAAGTCAATAATTTAAAGTCAATTTTAAACATTTTTAAGCATTATTTTGAGCATTTTAAAGAAGATATTACTTGATGTGAACCATTTTTAAAGTCTTTATTGAATTTGTTGCAATATTGCCTGTTTCATGTTTTGATTTCTTGGCCCTGGGGCATGTGAATCTCCCCTATCAGGGATTGAACTCACACCCCCTGCATTGGAAGGCAAAGACTTAACCATTGGACCTTCAGGGAAGTTCCAATTTTGAGTACTGTAAACACTGTATTCAAAAGAATCCACTCAGTAAGAATTTCCCAACATATAATGGACTAGTAAAATACTGTATATCAGTGGCTCCACTGGAAGTAAGATTTAAAAACATGAAGGAAAGCAACATATGGTCAGGGGAGTGTGGAACCTTGTTTCCAGGGTCACTTATATCACAGACTGCACAATATTTGACATATAGTTTTCACTAAAATTTTATGTTCTATTTCAAAATCGATTTTAATCAGTTCCCACCTGAGGAAATAAACCAAGAGTTAAATTATTAAAATATATATCTGCATTAAAAAAATAACCACTGTACAGAAAGCAAAAATAAATGGCTCAGCACTTCCCTGGTGATCCAGTGGTTTAAACTCCATTCTTCCACTACAGGGGGCGTGGGTTTGATCCTTGATCAGGGAACTAAGATCCTGCATGCTATGTGGCACAGACAAAAAAGAAAAACTAGCTCAAATAAAACAGTGTTTCTTTCGAATATGCTTGCATATGACTTTGCTTTTTCTCCTTCAGTGTAAACACTTACTAGAAAATAGGGGGTTATACAGGTTGAACCACAGGATATTGGCTAATGGCTGTTTCACACACTTTAACCTAATGTAAAGATTGAGAAGAACTGGTGAGCAATCCCCAGGCACATTAGGGTTGAAGGAATCAGAAAAGAGACAGCTTGGAACTCCAGAGTTCCTTCAAGTCCAGATCACCTCAAGGCTCAGATATTGAAATATCTCAAAGATGTGATGGTGTTTGCCAATACTGAGCAGAGGATTGCTGGAATGGAAAGCAGACTCTCTAGTCCCTCTACTTAACCTGCTCTATTCTAGGTAAATACATGTAAACAAGTAAACTGAATTAGCTATTGGGCTAATCAAGAACTGTGGATCCATGTGGACAAGTTTCCTGTGCAAACCATGGTCAGTCTGTACTCTGCCTTCCAAAGCTGCAGTGTCAGTTTCACTGAGGTCAGGTGACCTAAGGACTGAATTAAGCAAACTTACATTCCTTACAGTGAAATTCCAATAAATCATCTGAACCCAACAGTCTTACCTGCTGATTTGATCTGACATCACTGAAATTCATCTTTTTTCCCAAGTCTAGAATCACCGCATTCTTAGTTTCACGGATGTAATCATCATTCACTGGTTGGGAAGACTTTGTATTTTTCTTCATTAGTCCCTGGGATGGCCTGTAAAATTAATTCACCCCTAAGTCACTCATGAAAAGCCCTGGTCAGGGTACAAAGGCCTAGGAATCAGGGTGGTTGGAATGACAACCATACACCAGGAGTCATCAAGCACTTACGTAGGGCATCTTGTGTGCAGAAGTTGAGCACTGAGCAAAGAATCTGTGTATAGAGGTGTTTTCAGTATTTAAATTATAAAAATATATTTAAAATGCATGCATGCTAAGTCACTTCAGTCATGTCTGATTCTTTGTGACCCCATAGATGGTAGCCCGCCAGGTTCTTCTGTCCATGGGATTCTCCAGGCAGGAATACTGGAGTGGGTTGCCATGCCCTATTTCAGGGGATCTTCCCAACCCAGGAATCAAACCTGGGTCTCCTGCATTCAGGTGGATTCTTTACCATCTGAGCCACCAGGGAAGCCCATATTTAAAATAATCATGTGCTTTTGTCCTAACATGTTCAATATCCATTTTGTCTAAGAGAGAGGATTATAAAGGATAAATGATAGTGATAACTGAGAGGCCTATCCTAGACTAAGCTATTCTTATGGAGACCCCTTCTTAAATGACATCTTTTACATCAAGAAACCTCAATGAGGGACTTCCCTGCTGGTCCAGTGGTTAAGACTTAACCTTCCAATGCAAGAGGTGGGGGTTCAATCCCTGGTCAGAGAGTTAAGATCCCACATGCCTTTTGGCCAAAAACCCAAAACATAAAACAGAAGCAATGTTGTAACAAATTCAATACTCATATCTTGAGATACTTACATGGATGGTGCGCTTTTAGGCAGCCCCATGGCATTGGTGGGTGGGATGGCAGGGAGAGAAGGCAGAACGGAGCTGAGAAAAGCCACTGGGTTCTGAATGCGGCTGGTGGGAGAGACAGGAGCTGGGGACACACAACGGGGCTGAAACTGGTTTCCGCTGGAGATGGAAAACGTGAGTGGCAGTTGTGCTGGCTCTGTTGGACCTGGAGTGGGGAGTGGCTCGTTTTGGATGGAGACCCCTCCTAGAGATTTGGTTTGAGCCGAGGGGTGAGTAACTAAGAGGCTTTCTTTGCTCACTGTCCTCTGCATGGCTTGAGGAGTGCTGCTCTGGGTGAACACTGGAGAGCTGGAAGGGGACACGGAGGCCGCAGTGGTACTTGTAGAGGGGAAGAAGTGCTTTGGCCGGGCCAAGCTGAATGTCTGTGATGGAGGGGCCTTCGCCTGCTTGCTGGACATTGTCACTGCCGGAACAGCAGTGGAGTTCAAAACACTCATGTTGAAAGGAAGCTCCTTAGGAGATGAAGGAGATGGGTTTTGCAACTGCTGTTGTTCCAGTAAAACTTGGTTGTGAAGCTGTTGTAGCTGACTGGAGTCGCTGCACACAAAACAAGAGTGGGGGAGAGAAGAGAAACTGTTACCATCTCCTCACCCATCAGAAAGTGTCCAGACAGGCTCTTTATTGTTGGGTTGGTCGAAAAGTTCTTTCAGAAATCAGAATAAACTTTTTGGTCAACCCAGTATCTGCTAAGAATGTACAGCCAGAGTGGCCAGCAGTCAGCCAATCAGTTTTTCTTGTGAGTTCTCTCCTCCTTTCCAGATCTGTTTGATTGCCAGGAAGAAGGGAAAGGCCACCATGATACACAACTCCGTGAGGCATCATCTATTGACATTTTGTCCTTTGTGTTGTGACCCTGGCGTTGGGCAACGCAGCAGAATGTTTAAAAATTAGGAACAAGAAATAGAAACAATGATCCTCTTGTTGGGAGTGCTCAAAGTTCCGAGATGAGTAGATAGTATCTGGGCTAGGGGTAGGCCATGAAACTAAAAGACACTTGCTCCTTGGAAGAAAAGTTATGACCAACCTAGAGAGCATATTAAAAAGCAGAGACATTACTTTGCCCACAAAGGTCCATCTAGTCAAAGCTGTGGTTTTTCCAGTAGTCATGTATGGATGTGAGAGTTGGACTATAAAGAAAGCTGAGTGCTGAAGAATTGATGCTTTTGACCTGTGATGCTGGAGAAGACTCTTGAGAGTCCCTTGGACTGCAAGGAGATCCAACCAGTCCATCCTAAAGGAAATCAGTCCTGAATGTTCATTGGAGGGACTGATGCTGAAGCTGAAACTCCAATACTTTGGCCACCTGATGGGAAGAACTGACTCATTGGAAAAGACCCTGATGCTGGGAAAGGTTGAAGGCCACAGGAGAAGGGGATGACAGAGGATGAGATGGTTGGATGGCATCACCGACTCAATGGATATGAGTTTGAGTAAACTCTGGGAGTTGGTGATGGACAGGGAGGCCTGGTGAGCTGCAGTCCATGGGGTCACAAAGAGTCAGACACGACTGAGTGACTGAACTGAACTGAACTAGGTTTAGGGTTAGGGTTGGGCTTCTGGACAGAGGTGTTGAGCTACATACTGATGTTAGTCACTAACACTAAAGAGGGCTGAGTTCGCCCCCAAATGTGCTAGATTCTTCACTCTGCCTCATTTTAGAGCAAACCTTAGCAAAGTAGCTGGATATGTCTTGGTGTTTCTCATCCTCTTATGACAACAAAGCTTTATAGATAAGGTAGCCATATGTTTTGATTCATTCTAGACCGTGCTCCTTTATGCCTGTTTTCCTGCCATAATTACTGCTGGCACTCTTTCACTGTCAACAATGTCATGGTTTCAGTGCTAGATTATATGGTCACCATAATTATAAATGTTGCCTTAGACTTGTCTTGTGCCTAAAAAAAGGAAGATGATTAAGCTGGGAGCACTTTCTCTATGTAAAGGAATCTGACTCACAGAAGCGTTGTATGATTTGCCTTAAGTCCCACAGTCTAATACTTTCTCTTAAAATAGTTAATTATTTTTTAATAAAGAAAATGGAAAATGTCTAAATACTATATATGCATCAAATTGTCAGAGCTGTCAAGTTTTGCTGTGTAGGAGACTCTCCTCTTGAGCAAATAACCATAGGAGGAGCCACAAGTGAGACCACAGTGCTTCAACCACCGTGGTTTTATGTTCTCTGAAAGTATACCTGGAACAGAGAAGATGATCTGCTGAACATGGGATCTATTAAAAATGAAAGGTTCTACATTTTCATACCATTGGGGAAGTCAACACCAACAATATCAAGTCAGGGGCTTCCCTGGTGGCTCAGTGGTAAAGAATCCTCCTGCTGATGCAGGAGACATGGATTCTATCTCTGATCTGGGAGGATTCCATATGCTGTGGAGCAACTAAACTCGTGGTCAGTAACTATTGAGCCTGTGCTCTGGAGCCCCAGAGCCACAACTGCTGAAGCCTGTGTGTCCTAGAGCCAGTGATTTGCACCACCACCAAAAGCCCCAACCCCCACCCCTCCCCGCAACGCGAAGCCTGCACACGGCAACTAGAGAAAAGCCTTCACAGCAGCGAAGACCCAGTACAATAACAAAGAAATAATAAATAAAACTTTTTTCTTTTTTTAAAGATCGAGTCAGAAGGTTCTCCAAACCTCGACTTAAAAAAATCCTTGGAGTTTAAGGCATTTTCCCTTCCCTTCGTTGACATTTCTGATACACAATATATGGAAAAGTAACTTCACAACGTAGAGACCAATCTCTACTTTCATTAACTCCTGTCAAATGCTACATACTGTATGATCCTTTGTTAAACTATGAAACTCTCATCTTGGATTAAACTAAGAATTTAGAAGTACTAGCCACTTGGCAGAGTAACTTTCTTCCCCCCTTTTAGAAGTAAGTATTTAAGCTGAGAGAAAAAAGTAAAATTAATTAAACCTTTTCATTTTATTTAGCAATCAAGAGAAGTAGAAATATCCTTCTTAGATATACTTAGAAAAATATAAACAATTAACATTATTTCTGCTGGTGTTAACTCTCCCAATGGCATGAAACTATAAGACCTTTATAATTTTAATGGATCTAATATTTGGCAGGTCCCATTCTGTGAATGCTATAGCATAAAGATAATGTTGTGTGGTTTTTAGGACAGGTTTGTGCTGTATTCTTGAGTAAATTTTAATCGGATGATGCAGAAATATTTTCTTGTGGTTATGGAAGTAGAAAAAGTAGCATATGAAAATTAAGTGATCTTAAAAAGCTAGGGATGAAGAAAAGAGGCCAGGAAGTCACTTGATATTGATTGATTCTGATTTTCTTTTGGCTTCCATTGAATGAAAACCAAGAACTAGCTTTTAACTTTAAGACTTTAAATAGCATCTTGGCCCTTATAATTTAATGCAGTATATTGGAGGGTCACAAACTTTAAACATAATGATATATGAGATACAGCATCAAATTGTTTTGATTATCTAAGATTCCGGAAGAATTCATTTGAGAATAACCTCTCTTTTTGATTGATAGGCTTCCCTGATGGCTCAGATGATAAAGAATCTGCTGCAATGCAGAAGACCTGGGTTTGATCCCTGGGTCAGGAAGGTCCCCTGGAGAAAGAAATTGTAACCCACTCCAGTATTCTTACAAAGTGATGTGGTTCAGAGGTTAAAGCGTCTGCCTGCAATGCAGGAGACTTGGGTTTGATCCCTGGGTCAGGAAGATCCCCTGGAGAAGGAAATGGCAACCCACTCCAGTATTCTTGCCTGGAGAATCCCATGGATGGAGGAGCCTGGTGGGCTACAGTCCATGGGGTCACAAAGAGTTGTGCATGAATTTTTTTCTCCAAATGTTACTAAGCTCTATCTTGTTTCAGAAGGGATTTAAAACACCTGTTTTAATTTGCTTATTCATTACATCAGGGCAAGGTGTCAATTCTAGTAGTCAACAAACTTTTATTGAATCTTCTCTGTGTTTACTTTGCTAGGTGCTATAGGATATACAAATATGCCTCAGATAGTATGAGCTATTCAGGGCTTAAAAAAATCTTACTATATATGCATGTAACACAAATAACGAGTAGTTATTTACAGATAACATATTTGTTGTCATTCAATTCGGTTATAGAATTTACTATCTAATAATGAAGATACACATTGCAGTGAAAGAATAAAGAAAGGACAGGTTAATTACAAAGCATAAAAAACCCTGAACAACCTCTCTAATTCAAAATAACAGCCTATCATAAATTGCCATACACTCAGCTGTTCATATCTTGTTGCTGTGAGGATTTCTGAAATCAGGGTTATACCCAAGCTTTCTTTCTGTAGATTGTCAACTCTCTCGGGTTATCTGAAAATATCTTTTCTTTTGCCACAACTTACTTAAAGCATAATGCTCAAGAATATGGCCTCTGCAGAAAGACTTAGATCCTAATCTTGGCTCTGCCACTGATTATGTGTTTGGTTTTGAGTGGTTTCTAGGTTTTTTCAATCCCAATTTCTTCATAAGTAAAATAGGAGTAAGTAATATCTCTTCACATTGTTGTGAGAATTGGTGGATGAGTCACCTAAATCAGTTGAATGCTCAATACATTGTGGCTATTATATTTTTCAGTTTCTGAACTACAGATACCAATTTTAAGATTTGTAAGAAGGAACATGAGTTTCAAAACTGTTAAGGTTGCTTCTTCTTGTGGTTCTGGAATATGAAAGAATTTCTTATGGATTTTAAGTGGTTGAGATAAAATGTCAAGGCTTTATGACAAGCACTGCAGAACAAACTTGGGCTATTGTATCAAGTACCTTTAAAAGCAGTTTGGCAACAACAATTGGGGCGGTGTGCTCTGGAGCCAGCTCTCATTGGCTCTGGAGAGAGGATTGTACACACCTCATCCCAATTCCCAGTTCAATGATCTTTCTTTAGTAACTTGAAATCATCCCTGGTGGGAGGAAATTGGCAAGTGCTGCAAGTCAGGGCTTCCCTGCCTCTGTCGGTAATTAAAACATTTGCCAATGCACCACTGATTAAGATAACTAATTCTGGGTAAATACGTCTCTGCAATCAGATTTAGCTGTGGTTTTAGCAGTGGTAATCATGCTGGCTGTGCAGAGAGCATAAAAAGCAAACAGACCTCACTAATTTAGGCACCACTGGCTAGAGTCAGTTGGCCTGGGAAAGGATCCAGGCATAGTTTTTAAGTGTAGGGGAATTGTTCTTAAATTTCAGCGAGCTTCAGAATCCTCTGTTGGGCTTGTTAAAAGATAGATTTCTGGGTCCCACCCCCAGGGCTTCTGGTTCAGTGGGTCTTAGTGGAGTACTAGAGCCTGTATTTCTATCAGGCCCCAAGGGGACGCCAGTGCTTTGAATAGCAGGCCTCTAGGTGGTTCTTGCCTGCGTCCAAGACTGAGAATCACTGCTCTAGAGAAACACTTGTCCCCAAAGCATACATTTTCCTAGTACATTCTCATTTTGTCTCTGACATTTTATCCACTTTAAATGTTTATTCTTGTTTTTCTGGCCGTGAAGGAATGTGTGTATGGGGCTGGGTGGGGTGATAAAGGGTTGTAAATCAGGTTCACCAACTTTTACACTGTAGTTTCCGACTGGCTGTACCTAAGAATAAGCTGTGGAGAGATTATGATTCGGCTGGGGTGCAAGGCATAAGTATTTTTCAGAAGCTATACATTTTATTCTAGAGTGTAGCCAGGATGAAGAATCACGTCTTTAGATAGCTTAATATTCAAGTTGAAAATTTCAAAGTCTAAATTATCTAGGTTTTGATGATAGTGTTTAAAATGACAGCTTCCCTTTGCAGTTTTAAGATCTATCCGAATTCTATTTTCTATATGAATGGCAAATTGAAGAACAACCAGAAAATGGTATCCTCAAGATTACTGAGTCAATATGTTTTAATGTAAAACCTAAAAGATTAACATCAATAAGGTTAAAACCAGTAAGAAGAGTGTGCAAGCATGTGGATTCACAAAGGGAGCATGTGTGTTTATAAAAGAGAGAGAGGGAGGAAGGAAGGGCAGAGGAAGCGGGGAGTATCCACATGCATATTCTTGTCTCTAATACAAAATTTAAGGAAGGCAAAACATATTAAAGAATTATATAGTGCTGAGAACTGGATTTTTAGAGGGTGTCACTACATAACTTAGTAGAAAGAATTTTTATATTCATTGAAAATTTCATGTGGTAATTAAGTAATCAGCAGCCTGGGTTGGGATGACTTCCCTGTGTGACTTCACTTACTTAAACAGTCCCCGGGTAAGTGGAGGCTCTACAAAATGGCAAATGGATTGTCTGGGGTTACCTATTCCCACAACTCACTTCTCTGAGAATTGCTTTTACACACAGTTGTGATTTGATCCATTTGACTCTTCTTCCTTGTAAACCTAAATCCTCTGCACCTGACCTCTGTGTCTGACTCTTTGTGACCCCATGGACTGTAGCCCACCAGGCTCCTCTGTCCATGGAATTTTCCAGGCAAGAGTACTGGAGTGGGTTGCCATTTCCTTCTCCAGGGGATCTTCCCAACCCAGAGATCGAACCCAGGTCTCCTGTACTGCAGGCAGATTCTTTACCGTCTGAGCCACCAGTAAACAAGGCTGGTATTTGGAATGGAGCTTCTGAGAATGATGTAGTTAGCAGTGAAAAGACAGTGAAAAGTGAAAGTCCCTCAGTGGTGCCTAACTCTTTGCGACCCCGTGGACTATACAGTCCATGGAATTCTCCAGGCCAGAATACTGGAGTGGGTAGCCTTTCCCTTCTCCAGGGGATCTTCCCAACACCCCGGGATTGAACCCCGGTCTCCTGCATTGCAGGCAGATTCTTTACCAGCTGAGCCACAAGGGAAGCCCAGTTAACAGTGGAACTTGACAGAAATCGTGACAGGCCATGTCATTATGGGCGAGATATGAGTTGATGAGGCTTCCAAGAGAGAAGAGAGGAGAGGATATGCAAAGAGGAAACAAGGAAGTGCTTGGGATGGAGCGTGAGCAGCAGATAGAAGCCAGACTGAACATGTATGTGATCCTAGCTCCTAATGAGAGAGTCAATTCCTAGGCAGGTTGATAAGAAGTCCAGGGTCCCTGAGGAGGAGAGAGAGGGGTCTGGGGCTCTTGAGGAGGAGATAGGGGTCTGGAATTCTCAAGGAGGAGAAAAGGACAAATGTCTTTTTTTCGCCTCTACGTTCCTTAGTCTTAGTCTCATATTTTTTTCTTTAAGCCAGAACTCAGTTTAAACCCTGTACTAAGGATTATATAACAACAATGTATCCTGTTTGAGGACAGTTTCTCCTTCTTGAAAACCTTCTCACTATTCCTGTTATTTTACAATGTATATTATGGGAGTGGGTCTGGTAAAATCTTTCTATTGTTAGTTCTAATCCTGTCATCTTAAAATATAAATTGTGGGAGTGGGTCTAGTAAGATCTTTACAACCTTGAGACATTCTTTTGATTTACTATAATAACCAATTGAAAAAGTATATAACTCCGTTGCTAACACTTGGGAGGGGGACACTCTCCTTCCCCCTTCTGATGTCTATGTCAGAAGCTTTCTCTGTCCCTTTTTCACTTTAAGAAAACTCTGCTACACGAACGCTCTTGAGTGATCAAGCCTGGTCTGTGGTCCCAAAGCTAAATCTTCTTCGGAGATCACGAATCTGACATTGTTCACTATCACTAACTCCCTACTCTCCTCTGTGCAGGGCCTGGCTGGGTTTTGTTTCTCATTCCTGCTTATATCACTGCCATAACCTCTTCCCTTCTTTTTACTTCAAGTAATTCCTGTTTCCTGTGACTAGCAGAACTTTGAGGGGACAGAAGTTTAATTTATATGCAGAGTACATCATGAGAAACGCCGGGCTGGATGAAACACAAGCTGGAATCAAGATTGCAGGGAGAAATATCAATAACCTCAGATATGCAGATGACACCACCCTTATGGCAGAAAGCGAAGAACTACTAAAGAACCTCTTGATGAAAGTGAAAGAGGAGAGTACAAAAAGTTGGCTTAAGGCTCAACATTCAGAATACTAAGATCATGGCATCTAGTCCCATCACTTCATGGCAAATAGGTGGGGAAACAGTGGAAGCAGTGACAGACTTTACTTTTGGGGGTCCCAAAATCACTGCAAATGGTGACTGCAGCCTTAAAATTAAAAGATGCTTGCTCCTTGGAAGAAAAGCTATGACCAACCTAGACAGCCTATTAAATAGCAGAGACATTACTTTGCCAACAAAGGTCCGTCTAGTCAAGGCTATGGTTTCTCCAGTAGTCATGTATGGATGTGAGAGTTGGACTATAAAGAAAGCTGAGCACCAAAGAATTGATGCTTTTGAACTGTGATGTTGGAATAGACTGTTAAGAGTCCCGTGGACTGCAAGGAGATCCAGCCAGTCCATCCCAAAGGAAATCAGTCCTGAATGTTCACTGGAGGGACTGATGCTGAAGCTGAAACTCCAATACTTTGGCCACCTGATGGGAAGAACTGACTCATTGGAAGAGACCCTGATGCTGGGAAAGATTGAAGGCCAGAGGAGAAGGGGACGACAGAGGATGAGATGGTTGGATGGCATCACCGACTCAATGGATATGAGTTTGAGTAAATTCAGGGAGTTGGTGATGGACAGGGAGGCCTGGTGAGCTGCAGTCCATGGGGTCACAAAGAGTCAGACAAGACTGAGTTATTGAACTGAAGTATTTCTGGGTGTGACTTGTATGTTTTGTAACATTTAATTTTATGCCCAGAATTTGTGTGGTAGGGAGAAAAATATAAAACTAAGCACCATGAACTGCTTCCAGTGAGTACCCTGTGGTCAGCACCAAGGAACAGATGATGGGAGTCCTATTACTGTAGATTTCATTGTTGATATTTAAAGGTCTATGTTGTTATCAACGTGATTTTTATCACTTTGATGTGTGGATCACATCAGAACATAATAGTGTGGATCAAACAGAACATAATAGTACTGTCACGTTCAATGCTTGTTTTACTATGGATGCATGTTAAATATTGCAACAGGATGCTGATGGAAGCTCTGAAGAGGGTTTGAGCCACAAGTGCATCAAATTCAGAGGTGATTCAATTTTTATGACTTCTTTCATCCCATTACAGTTATATGAAGCCTACCGTGCTCACCACAGCATATGTAGCCATATCAAGGAACTATCTAAAAAACAGTTGATATCTTTTCTACAATGAGTATAAAAACTTAAGCTGAAGTAGAAATGGGAAACAGAGAGATAAAATTACAGGCTGTAAAGATTATTAGACCTAAGAAAGGACTTTGTAAGAAGGGTGTAGAGGTGGAAGGGAGGTTCAGGTGGGAGGGCACCTAGGATCTATGTATACCTATGGCTGATTCATGCTGATGTAGGCAGAAACCAACACAAAAATTATAAAGCAATTATCCTTCAATTAAAAATAAATTAATTGAAAAAAACAGACCAATAGACACAAAGATATTTATAACAGCACATACGTGGCAAATTTGGGTTTTAAAATCCAGGCAGTTTTAGCAAAGGGAACTATATTCAATGTTTTGTAATAACCTACAAGAAAAAAGAATCTGAAAAGGGATACATATGTATAACTAAATCACTTTGCTGTGCAGCTGAAACTATCACAACATTGTAAGTCAACTATATCTTAATTTCTTTAAAAAAGGAAAGAATTCAGGTGCAAAAAATATTGAAGGATGTGGAGGGACTTCCCTGACAGTACAGAGGTTAAGACTATGCTTCCACTTTAGGGGACACAGTTTGATCTTGATTGGGGAATTAAGATTGTGTAAGCTGCTCAGTGCAGCCAAAAAGTAAAATGGCTCATGAAGCTGAGTCAAAAAAAAGTTTATTAAAACAGAAAAGTGCAGAAGTGCTTCATCTGGAGCCATCTAGTATAGGACAAATATCTTTTTGAGCCAGTTTAGATGTAACATTTCTTGGAAGTAGAAGATGAATAGTAAGGATGATAGTGATAGCCCATTTACACTGATGTAAGGCTATATGATTTGCAAAGCATTTAATGTATGTTTTCTCATTTCATAATTCTCCTTTTCAGCTTCATCATTTTTAAGAAGGGCAGACTCAGAGAAGGTCGCAGGCACTCTTGGTTATCCATTCTAATTTTTACTTACAGTTTGGGTTTGGCCAGAACTGGAGGGGGCTCTTTGACGGGTGAGGAAGGCTCAGAGATTTTTGCTGACTGACCATTGAATCTCTCCTGGAAGGAATCTGGCCTGGTCTGGTGGGTGGTCACCATGCCACCCTCGGAGGATTCTTCGCTTCCTTTGTCATCTTCAGGCAGGTTGAAGTGCACACGGAGCCCGATCCTTGAGCTGGACCGGGGCTCGTTGTGGTTCACCAGCACCCCTTCCAGCTTGGGTTTAGGGGGTTGTTCCACAGGAGGCTCTGGGTTGGGTGGGGATGGCTGTTGCTCAATAAGAGCCAGGTTGGTGGTGGAGTTGGCTGAGTGAAGAGACCCATTGTTTCTGAGGTCTTCATTTCCTGAAAGGATAACAGGACCTGAGCCACTAGCCTTACTCAACAAGACTGAGAAAGGACTGTCACCCTGAGTTGGGGCAGGTATCCAACTTAGGTGAATGTGCTAATTAGAGATGCTTGTCAAAAACAGCAAACACAATCTGAGGCATTAAAGAATGGTAAGGATACAGGGGGGAAAAACTCAAAAAAATCTAAGTAGCATTTTGGAAAGAATTTTAGAAGTCTATGTAAGACCAAGGAGATATTTTCTTAGAGTGTATAATAAATAACAGCAGGATAACTGAGATGGTGGTGATAAATGTGATAAGAAATTAGAAATTGAATTCTGTTCAGGAACACTTTCCTCAATAATTCAAAAACTTTTTAGAAGAGCCACATGAGCTTCATATGAAAAGCAGTAAGAAAGGATAAAGTACACTCTTCATACTCATATTTAAAGTCATAGTCTAAACCAACGGTCCCCAACCTGTTTGGCAGCACGGACTGGTTTCGTGGAAGACAATTTTTCCATGGACTGAGGCAGGGGTTGGGGAGGTTGGTTTCAGGATGATTCAAGTGCACTACATTTATTATGCCGCTGCTGATCTGACAGCAGGTGGAGCTCAAACAGTAAAGTGAGATGGGGAGCGGCTGTAAATACAGATGAAGCTTCACTTGCTCACCTGCCACTTACCTCCTGCTGGGCGGCCACGGACTGGTACTGATCTGGGGGCTAGGGAATCCCTGGTCTAGACTGCTCCGGCATTGGAAGAATCCTTACCTCTCACATCCAGCTGTGCAATGCTTGACACTGTGCCATATTTGTTGCTTGCAGTACACGTGAAGCACCCAGAATCTTCTGCAAATACCTCGGCAATGACCAAAGTACAGATCTCCTCTAAAGCCAATAAAGCAGAGATGGTTACTGACTTTTTATGGGAGTGTAATTACGGAATTTTCTGATATTAGATAGTGATTCTAGAAAAGTCAATAGAAGAAGATGATTATATCGTTTGAAAATAATTAGTCCAATTATTTGATTGAATTGACTGGTTAGCAGACCAAATGAGCCAAAGGATGTAAAATGAATAACTCCATGCAGACACTCAGCAAGAGGATTTAATAATAATGTAATATAGATTATGGATTCATAAATATGATGTTTTTATGTCATCAGTCCAGAAAACAAAAATAGAACCAAGAAACAATAAGCTGAAAATCACAAAAACAAAGGATTTAAAGCAAGAGGAGGCTATGGCTGAGTCATGCTGATGTATAGCAGAAACCAACACAATATTGTAAAGCAATTATCCTTCAATTAAAAATAAATTTTTAAAAAAAGCAAAGGGAGTTCTGTGTGAACTAAAAGGATTGAAAAAATGATTTTTAAACCCAGATCTCACTATTCCCGTGGGAAATTATTTTCTTCTTTTTTTGTGACTGATTCTGTGGGGAACTTTTGTCATGAGGTAATTTTAAATGTAGGCCATAATTTAAAACTGGACAGTAAATATTTTGCTTAGCTACTAGTAATTAGCTGGTAGAGCAACTTAGAATTCTGGGTGAAAGAAAAGTGAAATGGACCTTTTCTTTTGTGATACTATGGTAATTCTTATAGATTACTCCAATACAGAGCATGAACCCCCTTTGAGTAACTGCTGAAGCGATTCCCAGATAGAATCATATGATTACAGCCTTAAATTATTATAGTTAGGTGTTCCTTGGCAACTAATGAAGAGAGGTATAAGATGGTAACATAAACCTCCAGTTATCACTCAGTAGAACTGACATTAAAAACAAAATTAAAAAAAGCAGAGTTGTATTAGAAACTTGGCATCTCAGTTTTTCATGATAACTGGATTGAATTAGCTGGACCACTTCTAGGAAACCCGGATGGGAGGCCATGGCGCAGTGTTGAGTACCTGCTCAGATAACCCTTCATCTTCCTTCCTCCTTACTAATGGAATCCTGGCTTTGTGCACCCTCCTTGAAGTGATCATAGGCTTCAAGGCAGACTGGCCTTTCCCAGCCTTGGTTGGTGAATCGTGATTGGTCATGCTAACCAGTTATGCTACCTCTGGTCTTGCTTAGGTGGTGGCATGTGACACACAATTCTGATCAATAAGATATTAGGAAAAGTCTCCTGGGGAGTTTCTGGGAAAGTTTTCTTTGCTCTTTAAAAGGAATAAAAGAGAGCATTATTCCCTATTTTTGCCTCTGGACATTGTCATCTGCATGTAATACCCAGAACTGTGGCTGCTGACTTGGGTATATGAGTAGAACCAGCTTAAGAGGATACTCTGAAGGTGACAGAAGGAGGGGAGGAGAAAAGCTTGGTCCTTGATGATCTGAGATGCAAAATTAAGCAGTCTCAAGACTGTCATTTCTTAGGGCATTTTGCAATGTGACAAGATAGATTTTTCTTGTTGCTTAAGCCACGTTTGGTTAGGTTTTCTTTGCTTGCTGCCCAAAGAATCTTAAATGATGGAGAGGCGAAGTTTGGTTTTTGGTACCTCTCTGTCCTTTTTCTGAGGCTTATGCTTCCTTCTCTCTGTTCCCCTTCCCAAACATTTGCTCTCTCAGCTTTCAGCAACCTGCATTCAGAAAATGATCTGATAAATTTATTCAGACTACACTACACCTGCCTGATAAAGTATTCTGTCTCCAAAGGGTATTTGCATTATATAAGGTAGAAGGAAGAACTCTCTGGACATGAAATTTTAGATTGTGGAGCTTGGGCTTATTTTTGGGTATGGACCTCTTTAGGGTAACTCTGAAATTATTTTATGTATGAGACTACCTAGTGAAAAAGCTTGTTCTAGTTGAAAGTATCAAAAGACTGAAATATTTTCAAGGGGAAAAATGCTTCTCCACTGCAAGCAGTGCTACAGTAAGACCACTGTGGTCTTTACTATATCCCCAGCGGCCTACTACTGCATAATCCAATGTTATGCAACATGGATTATTGTTGTTCAGTTGCTAAGTCATGTCTGATTCTTTGCGACCCCATGGACTGCAGCACTCCAGGCTCGCCTGTCCTTCACTGTCTCCCGGAGTTTGCTAAGATTCATGCCCATTGTGTTGGTGATGCTATCTAACCATCTCATGCTCTGCCACCCCCTTCTGTTCAGTGTCTGTATTGGGAATGCTTTTCCATTCAGTTTTTGGGAGAAAGAATTATAATAATGAAATTCCAAACCATGATTCTTACCCATGGGCACAAACACAATCTTATTTTTCAGGGTGATCACAGAGAGGACATTCAGATGTTTACGCTGTGGTTTGTGAATGGCTTGTATTTTCTAGAGGTAAGAGCTTCTATGTCATCTTAATATACTCCCAACCTAATCTAATAACACCACTAACATTGTATTGATTCTGAGTTGATTCTGTGAATTTCAAAATCTGATGCACAACTTTTAAGAAACATAGGCTGTAGAATTGGAATTGATCTAGCATCATGGAAATTGCTTAGCCCAGTTGAAGGAAATCATAAGTAGGGACCAATAAAAGAGGGAAAATGTTCCTAAGAAACATTCCTCAGCAACCCAGAACTAACTGTATTCACAATAGGTATTGAATATATATTCCAAATTTGTACATGCTCCTCATTTCCTTCTTCTACAGTAATAGCTAGAGTTGGCTTTGATCTTCTTTCTAAAACTTTTTTTTTCTTGACACCAGTATAACTGCAATATGTTTTATTACATATTTCAAATCACTGATCACATGAAAATAAAAGTTAAAATGATCTTTACCTGGCTCTGCCATGGATCGAGGTTCTAAAAGGAAAAAAAATTAAAAGATTCTGAGCATTCATTTTACTGAGAGGTGATATTTTCATCAGAAGCTTCCCATTGAATTTCACAATTTTTTTCTGCATACTCATGAGCAATTTGACAAAGCTAATCTGTAAATGTTAAGTAAAATGACCTAAGCACCAATGACCTTGATGGGGATAGGATATTTATCATAGAAGAGCAGCAAGAGAGAACTACTACTTAAATGATGTGGCTGTATCTTGGGACATACCTGGGTTCCACTTGAGACATATAAACCTTAGGTTGGGAAAAGTTACTGAATTAGCTGGTACTCAGGATGATTTATTTTTCTTGTTTTCATTCAGCCTAACCTGAAAAGTTTTGTGAAGATTGAGAGATCATTCTTGGCTTTGGGCTATCACATCTTGATATAATATAGACTATACCTCCTGCCCTAAGGTTTCTAATGTTAAGAGCCTCAGGATAGATGACAGGTTCTTCAAGAGCAGTTTTTATTTTAAAATTCTTTGGCATTTCTTTTTTTTTTTTTTCTTTGGCATTTCTGAAAGTGCCTGCTTGGTACTTAAAACAGCTGCTCAACTAATGTTTGTGGAGTTGCAGTCACGCAGAACAGTCTTTAATACTGATAAAACTGATAGTGAGGGTTTTTCTTTTTCCTCAGCTTAAATGGTATTCAGAATATTATTGTTGCTGCTGCTGCTGCTGTTAAGCCTAATAGTAATTTGATTCATATATCTAATCTATTTTGTGCTAGACAGGAAAAAATGAACAAATTTCAGCATAATTATGACTGAAATGTGTCAAGCTGAAAGCACTGCACAACAAGAAAAGAAGAATTAACCACTTGGATACACACACACACACACACACACACACATATGTTTATTACAATAAAAAATAAAACCCCAATAAATAACCAACAAATGATATGAATAGGTAATTTAAAAAATAAATTCAAAGACCTAATAAATATGAAAAAGAAGTTCCTTCCCACATCTAATTAGTGAAGTGCAGATTAAAACAAGTGTTCTCATTTTGGACCTATAAAATTAGTGAAGATTAAAAAATATTTAAATCCATTGTTAGTGAAGGTATTAAGACAAAGGAATTTCCCATGTATTTCTGGTTGTAGTAGAGTATAACTGGAACAGCATGTGTCCCAGTTCAGCTGGGACAGATATCTGGTTTATTCCTGGGATCTCTGTGTAATGATTAAGAGTATCCTCTTTTACTCTCCAAAATTAGATGATCAATTATATGATCATTGTAAATTCAGTTCAACCTTTTAGGAGGGCACTTTGGCAATTTATATTAAAAGCTTAAAAATTGTGAATTTACAATAACAATTCTAGTGCTCAAATTTATTCATAGATATTCTCTGTTAACATGCTTTGAGATATAGTTTATAATAGTAAAAATTTGTGGACATTCTCCATTTTCAACAATAGGTGATTAAGTAAATGAATTGATTTCAAAGGTAAAAAAGATTTGTATTAATATGGAAAGATATTCATGAAATGTTGAGTGAAAAGCCAGTTTACAAAAAATGATTTATTTTTACTTAAAAAACATGCATGTTCAAGAGGGAGGGGACATATGTCTGGACTTCTGTCTGGTTCATGTTGATGTTTGACATAAAAGAACAAAATTCTGTAAGCAATTTTTCTTCAATTAAAAAATAAGTAAATTAAAAAAAAATGCATGAGAAAAGTTTTGGAGAATGCACACCAAAATATTAACAGGGTTTAACTTGATGGATTATGATTGTAAGTGATTTTTATTTTATTCTTCTTTATTACATTTTAATTAGCTGTTAAGTTATAAAATAATGTACACAATAAATTTATAAAAATTATTTTAAAAATAATTTTAAAGCATTGACTTACTTTTCTGTAAAATTCTAAAATCTGGAGAATCTTCTATCAAGGTCCCTTCTCTGTACCACTCAACTTTAGGAGATGGGGCTCCTTTTACTCTGCATTCAAAGACAACTAGCTGACCCTCAGAGGCTGATAAATTTTGTAACATCTGTAATGAGAAGAATATTGTTAGAACCAAAAAGTACCTGTTTTTGGAATCTACTTCCAGGGCTGAGTTTTCCAAAAAGACACTATTTCTCCCATGTTTGGGTTTTCTCCAAATCTTGTACATTTCCAGCAGCTTCAATCTGATGGATATACATCAAATCTATTTTTAAAGATAGACTCATCTGTGCACATGGGATACTTTTTCCTATCTTCTTCCTTCTCTGTTGTAGTGCCAGACAAATACTAGGCAAAATGTTTTGAGGGCTTGCAGAAATACTAATTTTCAGTAAAGTCATTCTGCTTCCTTTGAGAAAATGCCCAAGTAGAGTTTGGTTTTCAGAGATAATAACAATTTTAAAAATCTGCAGCGAGTATCTACTAGGTGTATTCAGTATGAAAGTAATGTATTTTGGGGGGCTTCCCTGGTGGCTCAGTGGTAAAAGAATCTGCCTGGCAATGCAGAAGGCCTGGGTTCAATCCCTGGTCTGGGAAGATCCCACATGCTGCAGAGCAGCTAAGCCCGAGCACCACAACTATTGATCCTGTTTTCTACAGCCTGGGAGCCACAACTATTGAGCCTACGTGCCACAACTACTGAAGCCCCAGTGTTCTGGAGTCTCTGAAACGAGGGAAGCCACTACAATAAGAAGCCCCTGCACCGCAGCTAGAGAGTAGCCCTCACTTGCCATAACTGGAGAAAAGCCTGAACGGCAGTAAAGACTCAGGGCAGCCAAAAAAAATAATAAATTAAAAAAATTTTTTCTAAAGAAAGTAATGTATTTTTCCACATAAGAATGTTCCATGAGGTGGGAAATCTTTGTGGCTCAATACTGACTGTTTTCTTGGCTTGCTTGTCAACTTTCTGTAGTCCTGGAAATTGATGCTTGTTCTGCTATTTTGTTTTCTGTATGTGTTCCTTACAGTATAACCTCAGAGTCTGTTGAGGGGTATATAGAATGGCAATCTCTATATAATCATAACTGCATGTAAAGTTTTGGGTCATGGTAAAATATGTCATAATTTTGTGAAGGCATCGTTAAATCCTCTTCCAAACTTACGCAAAAAAAGTTTACAAAAATCACTTTCGACTGTAAAATATCAGTCTATTCTGTAATAGACTCTATGGGAGAATGGAACTCACATTTTCCTTTTATAACTTGTCTTTCACTCATCGTGATTTGTGAGCTTAAAGTCACACATTCATTTGTGTAATTGGTACTTCATTTGATTGTGAAAAGCCCTGTTGGCATGTGTGTGGGCACATTTTTGTTTTTACCATAGGCTGAAAGACTACAAACATGGGAAAGATTATGATTATTTTCCTCTACAAGCTCTATTAGCAATAAATACTTCAGGCTTTCCTATTATTACAATTTGGGGGTCTGCATTTAGGTATTGGCTCTTGCTTCAGAGGGGGGTGGGGACTAGAATTTGATCCTTGGGTCAGGAAGAGCCCCTGGAGTAGGAAATGGCAACCCACCCCAGTATTCTTGCCAGGAGAATTCCATGGACAGAGAAGCCTGGCGGGCTGCATTACCCAGGGCTGCAAAGGTTTGGACACTACTGAGCAACTTTCACTTCACACTTCACTTTGGAGAAGGATGGGCCAGTAGTTTTTTTCGCTTTTGTCATTCACTCTGATAAATATTTTATGATTGTTTACAGCTCTTGTCTTAGCAATATATGGTATTTTGTGCATGGACCCATCATATTCACAACATCTGTCTAAGGAGTAACAAGGTGAGGAGAACCACATGGTTTTAGCTGTAGATTTTTACCTGAGAAGGGTGTGTAAGTTGATATTATGACTGCCAGGGGGCGCCACAGACAAAAGTTAGTGGATTTAGTGGTTGGTTTTGTTTTTTTGCATTCCCAAATTTGTTTGCTGAAGGAGTTCAGGATGGAATTTGCAGAGTGGTTTCTGAAGTAGTGAGGAACTATTTGATTAAAAACCTGGTTTTTAAAAACAAACAAACAAACAACCCTGGTTTTTCCGTGACTACTCGCAAACAAAGGCTTCTAGTGACAAGAATGTTCTCAATAAGTAGGGAACATCAATGAGTTTGGGTGCTCCTGGCAAGCTGGTGAATATGCCCTTCACTCTGACATCTGAGCCAATTCTGTGCGAAAATGATAGTTTGGGAGCCTATCGAAAACTTTAATGGCAATCAGACACCTCCCTGGGATTCATACATAATGAAGTCTCATTTCTTCTGAGGCAAAACAAATTAAAAAAAAAAAACAAAGCAAACCAAAAAAAAAAAAAAGTGGCAGCTGCAGAACGGATTGAATTTAAAAAGTGTGGCACATTTAAAGAATGAATATAAGCAGAATGAGGTCAATCTATACATTCTGACCTGACTTGCAGTTCAGATATATGAACCAAGTCTCAATCTGGCAGTGCTGTGTGTGTGCTAAGTTGGTTCAGTCATGTCAGACTCTTTGTGATGCTATGGACTGTAGCCCGCCTGGCTCTTCTGTCTGTGGGATTCTCCAGGCAAGAGTAATGGAGTGGGTTGCCATTTCCTACTCCAGAGAATCTTCCTGACCCAGGGATTGAACCTTTATCTCTTGTGTCTCCTGAACTGAAAGGAGGGTTCTTGACCACTAGGGCCACCTGGGAAGCCCCAGTCCTGCTTGCAGAAGGACCTCCTTGAGAGAATATGTTACTCATAGTTGAGACCACTGTTAGCTTGTTGTAAGTATTCACTTGACATTGAAAGCCAAGACCTGTGTTCTCTTGGAGACAATAGCCAAGAATTACTACAGTTATAGAATATGCCTGCTAAGTGTCTGTGATAGGAGCTGGAAGCTTGTTCCAGTGTGACCCACCATCAATGCTCAGTAAGGGTGTTGCCATGGGTCATCTTACAAGCCACTTAGAAAAGGTTGTTGAAGGTCATGATTTGAAGGACAATGATAGCTGTTATTGCTAAAAGCTGTGCTTTTCTACCAAAGTCTCATGACAAGAAATCGGCTCACATCACTGTCCAAATCAGTTACACCATTTGAACGTTTTGTAAATGGGGCCATGTTCAACACAGCAGTACGTCTTAGGCTGTTACTAATGGCACATTGTATAAGACTTGATCATATTTATCGTGACCTCACTGAAGATGAATAAGACATGAAACATTTCCCAACAAGCAAAGATTAAGTTAGTCTTAACTAGGAATTATGGATTTGAATTAAAGTCCCTATAATGAAATGTCTACAACCTGCTGAGGTGACAGTATCTAAAGTGCAAATCCGTCCTGTGTGTCATCACCGTACTGATCATCCAGAAAGACATTCTTTGCGGGGTAACTTGACAACACAACCTTAAGAAGCATGTCTTCCACAGCCATTTGCTATTGGATTTTTTTTTTTTTCTCTGTTCCTCCTAAAGACACTCTGAAGCCACAAAGTGATGAATGCAGCAACTCCTTCTTAGCCGAAATGGAAGTGATTCACCACAGAATAAATATTATTGGGTACCTGCTTTGTACCAAGTGCTGTGTGCAGGTGCTGTAAATGTGACTTGAAAGGACACAGTTCCTGCTCAGTGAGATCCATACCCACAGATATAATGCAGGGACATCCTTGAGAAAAGGCATCTCCCTTACCAGTTGAAAAGATGTCAGCTACAAGGTTCATATTGTCACTTTATCCTTTTTTTTAAAATCTAGTGGCTATTTTTGCACTTTGGGAGATGCTGGAAATGAATGCTGTAGTGCCTTAGGCTGGCGTTGGATCAGAGCAGTTTTTACTGATAAAGAACCCTTTTTGCTCCAGGATTGTCACAAGTGTCCAGTGCAACAGTTGAGTCAGAGAAGTCTCTGGAATTGTCAGGTTGGGGAGAGGGGCCCATGTAATCTTCAGGAATCTAAAGCCAACCACCAACCCAGTTATTTCGGGGCTTCCTGCCTCTGCTATTATATAATGAAGTGCCGTTCTTCAAATTTTCACTTCCCCTGCCCCCTTGCACTCTTCAAATTACTGCTGAAGCAGCTGGAGCCGGTGCTGCCGCAGCCTTGAAAGCCCGCCCGAGCAGCTGCTATTGGAGTGGGCGCAGAGATGGGAGTAAGATTCTAATTTGATCATCTACCTCCCTTCATGCTCAAGGAGTGTGAGCACTGTCTTCCCCCACAAACAGAGCGAAAGTGTTTTTGATACAGTGTAGAGGATGGAGGATAGTCTATCTCGTAAAGTATTTAAAAATATAGGTATCCTTCAGAAGAGTTTATTTATAAACCAGAAACAGACTCACAGACTTGGCGAATGAACTTTATGGTTACCAGGGGGAGAGAATGAGGGAAAGGGAAAGTTAAGGAGTTTGGAATTGACATGTACCTACTGCTGTGTTTAAAATGGGTAACCAACAAGGACCTACTGTATGGCACAGAGACCTCTGCTCATTGTCATGTGACAGCCTGGATGGGAGGGGGTTTGGGGGAGGATGGATACATGTATGTATATAGCTGAGTCCCTTTGCTATACCCCTGAAACTATCACAGCATTGCTAATCAGCTATGAAAAGTGAAAGTGAAAGTCGCTCAGTCGTGTCCAACTCTTTGCGACCCCGTGGACTATACAGTCCATGGAATTCCCCAGGTCAGAATACTGGAGTGGGTAGCCTTTCCCTTCTCCAGGGGATCTTCCCAATCCAGGGATCGAACCCAGGTCTTCCACATTGCAGGCGAATTCTTTACCAACTGAGCCACAAGAGAAGCCCATACTATATTCAGCTATACTCCAATATAAAATAAAAAGGTTAAAAAAGAAAAGTTATCCTCTATAAGTAGAGCAGTGGACTAGCATATGGGACCCCACTCTTCTTTCAAATTCTACCACTGTTTTGCTGGGCAATCTTCCTTTTCATTTTAACCTTCTCTAAAGAGAAGATAACACCAGTACTTCCCTATCACCAAAGGAGGTAGAAGGGGTTAAATAAAACTTTGTCCTTGAGTCGCTTACCATTCCCTTCTTCAGGGGATCTTCCCAACCCAGAGATTGAACCCAGGTCTCCTGAATTACAGGCGGATGATCTACTGGTTGAGCCAGCAGGGAAGCCCCTTTAAAAAAACGGCTTCTTGCCATTATTGGCAGAGAAATGCTTTGTTGGGCAGTATAGAAAGTGAATCATAGGGACTGGAATGCCAGAAGTCCCTAAAGAAATAACCAGAACCAGGAAAAACCCGAGCAAACATATGCCAGTGTGGGTCATCACGGCTCACGCCACGCGGTTACCGTCATCAGCGGCTCTGATTCAGAAGTTTTCTAGTCACACTGGCAGTGATGATGTGCCCTCCCTCATGGAAACTAGCGCAAGCACACTGCTGCCCATGAGTCCCTCTGGGATCTGAGCCACGGGCTGTGCCGAGCCCTACATCTGAACAACCCCGATCCCATTTATGGACACAAAAGCACACTTTTTGAGCGCTGAGAAAGCCTCCCCAAAGTTTGAGTCTCTGTCTTAGACATCGCTTTCCCACCATGGAGCTAACATTTTTGGAGATTTATCTGATAAACAGCATACACTGATGACTAATTCACTTTCTCATTTTTATTTATCAAAGGCATATATATCATCTGCAAATCAGAGCATCTAATTAGAGGGAGGTAATCAGTCACCACACAAAACAGCTAACTTGTGACCAACCAGTCCATGAAAATTAAATGTAAAGAATAGTTTTTAAAGTCTTATTAGGCTTTTGGGAATAATTAAGATAGTTTTGGACCTATTATAAGCATTGTGGACTCCTATCTAGATATCAGAGATAGGTTTCAAGGTGCTTGGGAGAGATAGAAAAGTAAACCTTTTTATTATTGTGCTAAACGTTGTATCAGAGATATGTACCAGGTGATATCGATGCAGAGAAGACAGCACCCCCAAAGGATCTGAAAGTGTGGAGGGAGGTAAGGACACCTCTCTGCTGTCTGGTTGGAAAGATGGTGGTGAGGAGGAGTGGGAGGAGACTTCAGTTTGGGACGGACTAAATTATTCTGTGATTTCGTTGCCTTTGAAGAATCAGCACTACCTGACAAAGGTGTTGTTGTGACAAAAGGGCACGACAAAGTGTTCAGATTTCTCAGCATTTAAAGCCCTGTTTGAAGGCTAGGTGACTTAGCAGTGAACTAAGGTAAATAGAGGTAGCTCTGTTAGCTATATCACACATGCACACACGTCCACTTAAAACTCGTCATTAAAGTCTGGTAGTCACCAAATCAGAACATATTGCTTTCCTACTGCTAGTCTTTGAAAATAGCAAAACTTAAATTCTGAAAGCGGGTTACAGGAAACATCTGAAAAATCGAGATGCATCTTGTTTCACATAAGAATATTTGCCCACCTGATACGGTCATGGATAAACATGTCTCACTCAGACTCTGCTTAACTTTGGAAAACCATCTTGGATGAGCTAATATGGTAGAACTTCCCTTAAAATTGATGTTTCTGTGGAAGTTGTGAATTTAACTCCTCCTTTAGGGTCACCTACATATTGGAAAAGATACCTTTTTTTTCTTTTTTTGGACATTTTTCTCTAAACCATGATTTCTCAACCCCAGGATTAACTGGCATTTTGGGTTGGATAATTCTTTGTTGCAGAAGGCTGTCATCTTGCATATTACAGAATGTTTAGCAGTATCTCTGGATGCCAACTCCTGTTGTGAAAATCAAAAAGTATCTCCAGGCATTGTTAAATTCCTTTGAGGAGCAAAATTAACTCTGATCGAGTACCATTGCTCTAAAACATACTTCTGAGAGGATAAGATCTCTTTGGTTTTAAGTTTGGTATTCATATAAAGAACAAATTATAAATCCAGGCATGAACTCCATTCATGTAGTCTTCATGATACCAAAACAAATTCAGTGTGACTCAGTTTTTCACCTTTGAATTTATTGTCCTGGGCAACATATAAACCAAGTATGTTATATAAGAGAAAGAACAACAGACAGAATTGAGAGAACTTGTTTTCAGTCCTGATTCTACCCAGTTCTGTGACATTGGATACATTGTTTAATCTCTCTGCCTACCCTTGTGTTTTTTTTTTTTTCATTTGTAAAGAAAGTGCCTGAGTAAAATTTCCAGTTCTAAAGACAAAGATTATGAGACTCAGAATTTGATGCCGCCACAATAGTTGACATATGGATTAGAAAAAGAAAGCTCTTTGTCCTTGAGTGACAAAGCCTACATTAAGCCTTCTGAGAGCATGTAACTGCATCTCCTTAAGCACCAAAGATATCCAGAGAAAACTGTGGAGTGCTTAGAAACATTATCACCTGACCTGTAGGTGTGGCTACTGTGTTTAAAGCAATATGATGGCCATAGAGATCAGTGTGGCGAATGGGGATGGGGATGACCTTTCCCTTATTACACAAACTGTTATTAGACATCTGCGACTTCAGGAGAAGTGGTAACAGCTACCACAAAAACCCAAACCCTATAGTGTATTTATAAGAGAACAAAATCCTGAGATAAAATCAGTGAATCTTGGATACTGCAACTTTGTTTGGGTATTGTGGTGTGTTTAAAGCCTTGGCCGAAAGAAGTAACATTTTGATTACCTTTGTAAACACAGGAGCTGCAATGATAGGTTTTCCATCCAATCCTTGCAGATAGTTTGTAGGGCTCTGACACTGTTAGAAGGGAACCAACAATAGATTCATCACTAGAATTATCAGGTAGGTAGGTAGATAGATGATAGATACATATAACAAGCTAAAGAATTTGGTGTATGAAATTAATCTAAAACCAAAGACATTTTCTATGTCTATGATTCACAGACATCAAACTTTATGCTGAACTGATTGTATTACTATTTTTTCCTATATCACAATGGCTGTACATACATGCCTCCCATCACTACCCCCTTACATACAGAGCTAAGTAATGAACCTTAACCCTTTGTAGAGGTTCCATAGACTCTTGAGGCTTCACAGATCACAGTTTGAAAACTACTGCATTAGAACTAAAATGTGACCCCTCTGCATTACTAAATGGGTCAGATAAGTATGCTGAAGAAAATTAAAAAAAATTTTTTTTAGGGTTTTAGATCTTTATATACATCTATATTTATATTTAAATATACAACAACACATTACAAGTATGTTTATACTAATATGACTTCATATTTTAAAGTATATGCATTGCTGTTCAGTCACTAAGTTGTATCTGACTCTTTGTGACTTCATGGACTGCAGCACACCAGGCTTCCCTGTCCTTCACTATCTCCTGGAGTTTGCAAAGATATGCATATAGATATGCAAAGAAAATGTCTGAAACTATCTGATAGAAAGTATTAACAGGAGGTACCTCTGAAGAGTGGGGGCAGAGAAGTAGAATGTTGATTAAGTTTTTACTTAGTATACTTTTTGTATTTTTTAATGTTTTTACAATAAGCATGTACTACCATCATCATCATCATCAACCTGAAGGATGAGAGACTAAGATTTTCTGGAAGTTATTTTAATGGTTACTCTATGTAGAATTTTTTTTTTTTTTTTTATAGCTCCATGAACCAAGTTTCATGAGAGTCCTGGGCCAGTGGGAGAGCTGGCAGCTCATTGTATATGTAATCCATGCCCTTCATAAAGCTGGGATAGCAGAGACTAATTTGTAGAGTTTCTTTTCCTATGAAACTTGCCTATGAAGTTACAGAATATGTTCCCAAAGCCAGGGGAACTACTGATATCATATACCGGCAGTACGAGGTGATTATCATGACTATAGAAGTGTGTTGCCCAAGGTCATTATGAAGTTGCACCAGATGGGAACACGATCGTGCCATACAAGAGGGTCATGGTCACAGTGCCTGCTTGTCACAGTTCATGGCACTTGTGTTTCACTTAGACTCTTGTACCTGCTGGATGGTTGATACCCTGGGCTGGGCCACCACAGGCTGGGTTTGGGATACTGCTGAAGGAATGGCTTCAGAAGTAGTGGGAGGCGACGACACTTCATTTGGCTTCTGGATTCTGAGAAATGATTAAAATACAGATTATAAAACAGGCCTATCATTCTTGTGAAATTCTTTCAGCAAAGCTTTCAGCACTGCTTACAAAACTTTTTGTTCAACAATATCGCACAAACGTTTATTGAGGGCTTCATTGCTGTACACTTTGTTAGGCAATGTAAACAGGAAGATGATAAGACGCCAGTTCTGTCCTTGAGTTCACTGCAGTTCACAGAGCTGGGGACTCAATCATATTCATAGCTGAGATTCAAGACAAGTGCTATAACAGTGCATGTGCAACAAATTTTTTGAGGTTTGTTTTGTTGTTGCCCTCTGTGTTTTTCTTCCCCATCCCATTCCAAGGAGGAGGCCAGGCTTTGTAAATTTTTGCTTCTGGGATTTTGATGTGGCAAACAGCAGAAATAGCCCAAGACAATGAGCTCTTTATGTTTACACAAATTAAATTAAAGAGATTGTTTGAAGGGCAGGGGAGCCAGAAAGTATTCTTGAGAAGTCTGCAGAGGGGAGATTATTTCAGTTTTGTTGTGGGAAAGAGAGAGGTCTGGGTATCTTGCCAGAGAACCTAATGAGAGAGAACCTGAGTCCAGACAGAATGGCAATCCTTTGATTTAAGGCTCCCAGTCTTGCTATCCATATCAGTCCCTAGCATGTCAGGAAGAAACAAAGTGCTGAACTTGAAGGGGCCTTGAGATCTGGGACATGGGCCTCTCACCCTAACCTGTGGGGTAGATGACTGATGTCAGGATAGGCTCCTCTTTCGTCTGTATGTTACCTCTCTTTGCCTTAGCTTCCACATGTATGAAATGAGGAAATAATAATTCTTACCTCATAGGGTTTTTTGAGGGTAAAATACAGTAATTCATGTAAGACGCTTAGTGTGTGTGTTAGTTGCTCAGTCGTGTCCAACCCTTTGCGACCCCATGGATGGTACAGCCTGCCAGGCTATCTGTCTATGGGATTTCCCAGGCAAGAACACTGGAGTGGGTTGCTGTTCCCTTCTCCATGGTATCTTCCCGACCCAGGGATTGAACTTGGGTCTCCTGCATTGCAGGCAGATTCTTTGCCATCTGAGTCACCAGAGAAGATGCTTAGAGCAATGTTTAATACCACACTGTATATCTATATCTATGCCTGTGTCTATATCTGTCTATATCTCAGGAATCTTTGCTCAACTTTGGAGGTAAAAGTAAAAGTGAAAGTGCAAGTCTCTCAGTCGTGTCCGACTCTTTGTGACCCTGTAGGCTATACAGTCCACGGAATTCTCCAGGCCAGAATATTGGAGTGGGCAGCCTTTCCCTTCTCCAGGGGATCTTCCCAACCCAGAGATCAAATCCAGGTCTCCCACATTTCAGGTGGATTCTTTACCAGCTGAGCCACAAGGGAAGCCTTGGAGGCAAAAGGGACACCCAGTAATGACTGAATATTTTCCCAGAGCCAGGTAGAGTGGGGTCTCAGAAGCAGAATCATTTGATGATGTAGAGGCTATTGGTATTCCTGAAGCATCCATTTTCTTCTTCTACAATAACAGAATCCCTGATTTCTTTCCATGGCTACTCCGAAAAAAGATTGCATTTCCCAACACTCCTTGACGCTAACTGTGGCCACATGACTACTTTCTGGTCATGGGATATGAAGGATAGTGCTGTATGTAATTTAAGAGAGATGACCTTAAAAAGGGGGTTGGGTATGTCCTTTATTCCTTTCAGTCTTAGACTGAGAAGATGAGGCTGCATCTTGGAAAGCGGCAGAAAGCTGGAAGCAGACTGGAGTCCAGTGAAAGGTGGAGCTGTTTTACCAGCCAAGTTCATATTTTTTATGTAAAGGAGAAAAATATTTGTCTTCTTTAAGTTACTGTTATTTGGGGTCTCTATTTATACCCAACTGGAGCTAAATCCTAACTACCACAAGTAGATTTGAAGAAAACGAACAAATGAGATATTTCTTATTTAAGTTTGTATGTCAAATTCATACCCATTAGGCTTGCAGGCCATGTTATGAGAGCCTTGAGGAAGGGGTGATATGAAGTGGAGAAGGAGCTTGTTATGTGACTTGACTGGGTTTTATAGGATAAATAAGAGTTTTCCATGCAGAAGTAACAGGGCATTCTTACCAAAGTGAACAGGATGAAATGGCAGCTGTGTAGAGAGCCTGAGGTGGGAGAATGGTTGAGGAGGGGCAGGAAAGCCTGACTGATACTCTAGTGAATAAAGTTTTCTATGCCCATGTTGAGATTTTTTTTTTAATGTTTTTGTTTGTTTTGTTTGATTTTTATTTTCCAATGGACAATAATTTTTTAAGTCAAGAAAATGATAAGATCAAGAATGATCTTTTAACTGGTTGTAGTCTGGAAACTATAAAAGAGAGAAAAAGATTGGAGCACTTATAAGGAGGTGATTGGCAAAAACAGACAGGAATGAAGAAGAACTGAACTGAAGCCATGAGAATGACAAGGAAGAAGGTTAAAGGGAGAAATCATTTACTCTGGTTATAAGTTTTCATATGTGAACAAAAGCTAAAAGCAGTTTGCCATTCCAAAGTAGATATGTGTGTGTTAGTCTCTTAGTCGTGTCCAACTCTGTGACCCCGTGGACTGTAGCCCACCAGGCTCCTCTGTCCTTGGAATTCTCCATGCAAGAATACTGGAGTGGATAGACATTTCCTTCTCCAGGGGATCTTCCCGACCCAGGGACTGAACCTGGATATCTACATTGCAGGCAGATTCTTAGCATCTGAGTCACCAGCAAAGCCTAAAATAGGCGTACCCCCCACCCCACCCCACCCCCGCCAAAATTTGAAGAATAAGTCATGATTTCTACCCTTCAGGAGCTTGCCCTCTGTGGAAGAGGATAGAATATGCAAATTCAGTTAACAACTCCTCACTCTTTCAGACATTGCCTATGTTTCAGAAAGTCTCAAGAGATGGCTGTTGTGTCTGTTTCCAGTTCCTATGCTTTCTGTCCACAATTTCCTCTGCCTGAAACACCCTTTCCTCCCCTGTTTGGGAATCTCCACCTATTGTTCTTTTAAGACCCAGCTTAGGGTCACCAGCTCTGTGACACCTCTCCTGATCTCCTTCCCTCCCCAAACAATAAGGGATCTTTTGTGCCAAATCCTTAAACCCTGCACATGGTTCTGTTATAGTCTATTATACTTTATTACTCTCACTGTCTATATACATGGTGTACATCTTTTGCTATATTTGCTATACATTTATTTCTCTCTACTAGACTGTGAGCTTCTTGAAGGCAGGAAGCATCTGATTTTTCTTAGCACCCAGTGCATCTAGTGAAGCACTAGATATAGTGCTACTCTATAGGTATACAGTAGGTGCTGAGCCAACGGTTGTGGAAAGTAATGTAACTTTGTTCAGTACCCAATACTTTAGCAAAAAGTTTATGACTTGCCCAGATAACTTATACGTATATTTTTGGTTCACCAGATTGTGTGTTATTTTGAGTACTATTCTTTAGTCAGAAAACATAAGTGTTTTTGAGTTATTTGTTTTTACTCTCTAGATATAAGTATGATGATGTTTTATAAGTGATATTTCATTTTTAAAATATTGGGAACACTAATCTTTTAAGCAACAACAAGCAAAGAAATAGCTTTTTACCCAAAGTCATGCAATTTTTTTTTCTGATGTCATACCCTGGAGCCCCACTCTTCAAGTTCTACTAAACAATTAGTAGCTTTCTCAGGACCTGAGGATGCTAAATAAGATAGAAAATTGGAATTACCGATTCATTTCGTCCTTGTTAGGGTCCCCTTCTGAGTCTGAAGAAGAAACCCCTGGAAAAATAAAAACAAGTCATGTAATTGTAAAGATAATTTCTTAAACTGGCTCCTAGGCATTTGAAGATTTATAGAAGTTTAGACCTAGAAATAAGCTCAGTGATTCCTTGAACTATACCCATTTTACAGATAAGAAACTATACCCTAAGTAGTTGAAGTGCTTGCTCAGGTCACATGCCAAGTTAGTGACAGAATTCAAATTAACTGGTCCAGGGATTTCCCTGGCAGTCTAGTGGTTATGACGCTGTGATTCCATTGCAATGGGCACCAGTTCGATCCCTGGTCAGAGAACTAAGATCCCACATGCCATGAGGCATGGCCAAAAAATAAAAGAAAAAAAATCAACTGGCCCAAATTCTGTGGGTTCTTTTATATAAAACACCTGCTGACACCTTTAGACTAACAGAGCAGTGTTTGCAAACATTCTGTATTGTCCATAAATCCTCTTGCTCTTGGCCTACACAGATTAAATAAAAGAAGGGATTACATTAGATTCCAAACATTGTGGGTGTAGGTGGATGCCCTTCCGTCCAGTACTAATATTAACAAGTCACTCTTCATCTTGGGAGGTGGGAGTGCTTGAAGCTCTGCCACCAAAAATTTTTAAAAATCAGCAATCCAATCTCAGCACTGTTAGCAGAGCTTTGATCCCTGATTTGCTGTTTAAGATAGTGAATTCCAGGAAGATATCACAAAACTAAATCCGGAGCTATTTATGTACTCCAAAAATTTGAGGATGAAAAAATATAACATCTATTTATGTATTATTTATTGTTAGTATCATTATTCATATATCTATTCAATAGAAGTTTATTAAGTAACCACTATGTATCTGGTACTGCTACATAAGATATTAGAGATATAAAGAAGATTGAGACAGTTCTAACCTTTATACCATAAGACTACAATATTTAAGTGCTAAAATCAAGGCATGCATAAGGTATTATAGATGATAAAAGTACTAAAGAATGGCTCCCTGGAAAAATGCAGAAGATGAGAGGAAACAGGATCAAAAACTTAGGTCGATATATAAGGTACATAAATTGATTCCTCCCTAAAATTAGTCATATAAGTTTGGTACTGATATAAACTCCTTTCCAAGGCTCCGAGATAGTCTTCCTGCTTCTACACTTGACTCCTTTTGGTACATTTTCAGCTGGGAGCCAGAGTGACCCTGTTAAAAACTAAGTCAGATCATGTTACAACTCGGCCTGGAATCCTTCAGAGACTCCTATCTCAGAGGAAAAGCCAGGTCCTTGCAGTGACCCATGAGGACCTACCTGATCTTCTCACTGCCTCCTCCCACCTCCACCCCATGTTGAACTTCTGACCTGTTCATCTCTGCACCTAAGACATGCACACGCCCTCTTCTGAGCCACTATGCTTGTTGATTTCACTCCCTAAAGTATTCTTCCTTTGAATTTCCCGGTGACTCACTCCCTCACTTCCTTCAGGTCTTCATTTATATGTCGTATGGTAAGTTAGGTCTTGTACAGCAATCTGTACACACACACATGCAAACACACATGCACGTGTGCACTCACATACTTCCTATCCCTTCCACTGTCTGTCATAGTGCTCATATATACTGTAAGATAACAGAAAACATAAATTTTTCTCTCTGCCCCTCATTCCTGGCACAGAGCTCCTAAAACCCTTTTAATCCCCTAAGTGATGAGCACTTAAACAGCATCTCTTGCTCTAATATTTGTCTTTAACCCTGCCTCTGACGCAGGGCTTCTAAAACTCTAATAAATTCCTAGGTGATGAGAGCACTGGGAGCATCTTTTGTTCTAATGAGGTGACTTTGGGTGGCTTCTGGATGGGGGCTGGTCACCCAGAAGACCAAGCCATGACTGTATGTGTGTGCTAAGCTGTGTTATGTCTACCTCTCTGTGATCCTGTGGACTGTAGCCCACCAGGTTCCTCTGTCCATGGAATTCTCCAGGCAAGAATACTGAGGTGGGTTGCCATGACCGCTTCCAGGGCATCTTTCCAACCCAGGGATTGAATCCATGTCTCTCTCATCTTCTGCACTGGCAGATGGGCTCTTTACGACCGGCACCACCTGCGAAGCCCTAAGGTGATTAGAAGCTTGGAATTTTCAGTCCTACCACCTCGTACTCCAGGGAAGGGAGAAGGGCAGGAAATGGAGTTAAGAGTCGGTCATGCCTGTGTGAGAACACCTCCATAAAATCCCAGCAGTGTGAGGTTTGGAGAACCTCTCGGTTGATGAATACTGGGAGGACCACGCACGGCAGCTTCACGGTGACAGAGCCCCCGTGCTCAGGGCCCTCCCACACCTCTCCTGTGTATCACTTCATCTGGCTGTGCATGGGCATCCTTTATCACACCCCACAGGAAACTGGCGAACATAAATAAGTGTTTCCCTGAGTTCTGTGAGCAACTCTAACAATTAATTGAACCTGAAAAGGGGGGTTGTGAGAACGTCCGATTTGTAGCCAAGTCAGACAGATGTTGTGGGTCACCTGGGCACCTGCTACTTGCATTGGCATCTGAAGTGGGGTAGGAGCAGTCTTGTGGGATCTAACTTGTTAGATCTGACCCTATCTCCAGGTAGATGGGTCAGAACTGAGTTAAATTGTAGGAAACCAAATTGGTGCCATGAAAAATTGTTTGTTGGCATGAGAACCATCTCCCTTATCACACACACACACACACACACACACACACACACACACACACACATACACACACACACACACACAACACATAGACACCTGAATTGGTGATTAGAACTATTTCATGTGTCTCACATAAGTATATATTTTGTTTATCTCATTTATTGTCTCTCCCATGACTGTGTTATTGCCATCTGTCCAGGAACCTGGGGATTTTTGTCTATTTGTCTCACTGCTGTTTTCCTCACTGAAGAGTGTGTGGTAGAGCAAGCCCTCAACAAATATTTATTATGAAAAAAATATATTTATTATGTGTTTATTTAACTTATTTATTATAACTATATATCTTATTAGTAAGTATCATGCTCCAAGAGTATTTTGCTTTACCTTCTATGTAAATCTCAGCAGAAGTTGAATCTGTCCCATAGATGTTAGAAGCAAAGCAGGAATAACGTCCAGTGTCCTCTTCAAAGGCTTCAGCAATGGTCAGTGAATGCAGATTTCCTGCCTGGATGATGTGAATGTCTGGGGAATTTTCAAGCTCCTTGCCTTCACAGTACCACCTGCAAGGAAGCATATTGGCGTGATTGAAATGTGAGAAGTAATAACATAAATGGCTCCAGATGTTCCCAAAGAAGAAAATTGTGGCAAACTTAGAGTCAAAACATTAAATGATCCATTATTATGGCATAATTTGGTTGTAACAATGAAAAGAGCCGGCAGGATTCAAGTCACAGTGACACTATATTCAGGAAATGAGAAAGCAGTTCCTATTAAGAATGATACAACTGAAAGAAGATGAAGAATGATACAACTGAAAGAAGGTGAAGAGATTTCAAACACTGCCAACCATGGAGAGCAGGGTCTTTGACATGGAACTTGACCTACAGATTCTATAGTATGCATTCAGTAAGTGCTACTTCAGCTTATTTGGAGGGAATCTAAGGGATATTAAAGGTTTGTGAAGTTAGAGTTGAACATTCATTCCCTACTACAAAATTGCATCATACCTAGCTAAATGAAAGTTATTTTGTTTGGTTACTTGAATCATCAGATAAGGGGGATGGCTCGTATTTTCCTAGGAGTGACCCAAATCTGGCAAATAACCTAAGTTAAATATATTTCTGTATGTTATGATATTTTATTTTGATGTATATACTTGAGGTTAGAAATTTTTATTATGAAATTTTTTCACCAGAAGTTTACACTAAGTAATGCATAAAATAATGTTTAAAATATGAAGGTACGTAATAAGAGGAAAGAACATTAAAAATCACATGGAACTAGGGGTTTCACTGGTGTCTCAGTGATAATGAATCTGCCAGCCAATACAGGTGACAGAGGTTCCATCCCTGGTCCAGAAAGATCCCACATGCCATGGGGTGACTGAAGTCTGGGTGCCACAACTACTGAGCCTGTGTTCTAGAACCCAGGAGCCCCAGCTATTTTGAGCCCATGTGCCGCAACTGCTGAAGTCTGAATGCTCTAGAGCCTGTGCTCCACAGCAAGAGAAGCCACCAAAATGAGTAGCCTCCGCTCGCCACAACTAGAGAAAAAGGCTACATAGCAATGAATATCCAGCACAGTCAAATAATAAATAAACTACATGGAAATATCATTGTTCATGATATTGATTGGCAAAAGCCTGAAAGTTTAACCACTCCCCATACACTGCTAGTAGAATGCAAAATGGTATAACCCCTATGAAAATAAGGCAGTGTCTACCAAAATTACAGATTACATTTATCCTTTCACTCAACAGTCCCACTTGTGGAATCTTTCATACAGTTACACTTATTGTTTAGTCACAAAGTCATGTCCAACTCTTTCGTGACCCCATGGACTGTAGCCTGTCAGGCTCCTCTGTCCATGGGATTTCCCGGGCAAGAATACTGAAGTGGGTTTCCATTTCCTTCTCCAGGGCCTCTTCCTGACCCAGGGATCGAACCTGTGTCTTCTGTATTGGCAGGTGGATTCTTCACCACTGAGCCACCAAGAAAGCTTACAGATACACTTGCATACATACAAAATGACAAATGTGTAGGCTACTGATTTAAATAGCATAAGGTTGGAAACGACCCAAGTGTCTATCACTAGGGGACTGATGAAATAAACTCTGGAACAGCCCGTAATAGAGCACTATGCAGCTCTAGAAAGAGAATGGGAAAGATCACTATGTACTCATATGGAAAGAACCTGAAGATATGTAGTTAAGAATTTAATAGTAAGGTATGAAATAGTACATGGAGAGGGTTAGCTTTTGTATAAGAATTGTGGGTTGCTATGCATTGAATTTGGAGAAGGAAATGGCAACCCATTCCAGTATTCTTGCCTGGAGAATCCCACGGAGGGAGGAGCCTGGTAGGCTACAGTCCATGGGGGTCACAAAGAGTCGGACACGACTGAGCGACTTCACTCACTCACTTCACTCATGCATTGAATTATTCCCCCACAGAAAGATATGTTGAAGTCCTAACCCCCCAGTACTGGGGAATATGACATTATTTGGAAGTAAGGTCTTTGCAGATAAAAATCAAGTTATGATGAAGTTATTAGCATGGCCCTAATTCAACATGTGGGGTCGCAAAGAGTCAGACACGACTGAGTGACTGAACTGAACTGAATCCAACAGGAATGGAATTCTTCAAGAAGAGAACAACTTCAAGTGAGGACAATGACATGCAGGGAGAATGACATAATAACACAGGTAGAAACTGGAGTGATGCAGCTGCAAGTCAAGAATGCCAAGGAACGCCACCACCAGAAGCTAAAGACAAGGAAGGAGTCCACTTGGAATCTCAGATGGAGCATGACTCTGCTGACACTTTGAGTCCGGACTCGTAGCCTCTAGAGATGTGAGACAGTACATTTCTGCTGTGAAAGCCATCCAGTTTGTGGTGCTCTGTTACAGTAGCCCAGGGATGCCAACCCAGGGGACAAAAAATAAGATAGAGCCATGTTGTTTGCATATACATAAAGAAAACTGAAAGAATAAAGTGAAAATCAAAGTGGCTTCCTATTGGGGTGAAGGGAAACAAGATGAATGAAGACAAACGTGAGATGTTTCAGTGTACCCCTTTTATAATTATTTTCATATTTAAGTAATAATTATTAATCAGCATCATCATAAGAAGTAATTGGGGAGGAGGCATTACCATTATTCAATGGCAAGAATGAAGGAGTCCTGGCAGTTGCTAACCTTTCTTGTAATTTCAGATCTAACCATTCAGTGCTTGAAACTTTCCCTCTCACCATTTGTAAAGTAAGATTCTAAAGCACGTTTAAGAAAACTCACCTATTCCAAGATTTCCCAAGAGATAAGCTTGCTTTCCTCTGCTGTTCCATAAATACATCATATTCACCTCTACATTCAAGCCTCTGTTCATGTTTTTCTCTTTATGAGATTCTCTTCCTCACCTTTCAGTTACTGCAAATATAACTCATCCATTAGTTTGGCTCAGATATCACCTCCTACACAAAGCACCTTTTACCCTCAATTCTCAGTGATTGTTACCTTACCTTTTTGTTGTTGTTGTTGTTACTTACTTTTTTAAAAAACCTATGTTATGTCATGCAAGTCTTGATTATACACTGTCTTTGATTATTCTCAATTTGGGAGAATTTGTCTCACCAGTTTCACTAAATTTTAAGTTCCTTTGTACTTAGAGGTGGTACCTGACAAGCACGTACAGTTTTCTATACATTCTCTCCTTTGGCCATTGTCTCATCCCTTAGTCTCAATTAATACTTCTGCTTGGGGTAACATTCAAACCTTCCTCTTAACTTTGACTTTGGATCTCCTTTCCCATCATTCTCCCTTCACTATGTTGCAACCACACTGGTCGTTTTCCTATTCTCTGAACACATCAAGCTAGTCTCCATATTAGGATTTTTGTACTTCCTAAAATCCTTATCCCTCAGTCTTTATAAAAACAGGCCCTTCTCATCAGGCAGGCCTCAGTTCAAATGTCGCCTCCTCTTCCTAATGTAGCTTCTTTATCCTCAGATGCCATCACATTATTCTCCTGTGTTATCCTCACAGCACTTGTTATTATCTGAACTTATCTTACATGCTTGCTTATTTTGTTATTGTTTGCTTCTCCTACTATGCTGTAAAGTCCATTAGAGGATCTTATCAGTCTTACGAATATAATCCCACACCTATGACAACATCTTGGTACACAGTAGTAGGTATGCAGAAAATAGATGTTGGATTTGTTGAAAGAACAAATGATGGAAATAATTGATCAGTAATATTTTGTGAGTACTTTGTTATTTGCTTTCATCAAATTCTATGCCAGTGTTTGCTCTGTGGGGCAACAGAGGTGCATGCAGCTGCCGAAATGGGTCCCTAAGTCTCCCAGAGCATCAACCTCAGCAAGACCCCATGGAACTTGTAGGAGCACACCCTCAGAGTATGTGTTGTACAACTACTCTATTTGTAGTTGTAAATACAAATAGTGAGCATCCAGACAAACATTTCCACTGGAAATGACCCTAACATGAGAATAAAGGAGATTTTCAAAGGGATTTTAAAAAAAGCACAAGGACCAAAAGAATGGGGCGGGAGACAACAGCAGACCTGAGGCCTCAATCACTTTTGAAAGGTGGAAAGCAGAATGAGAAGCCAGGAGAGTTGGAAAATCTGAATACCAGGTGCTTACTTGGGGCTGTCATTGAAAAGAAGGCAATTTGTGCTGTAGAAACTCAGAAAGTTACAGGAGTTGGAGATGCAAATTTGGTGGAAACACTAAGAATAGGGGAGGAGATAAAGAGCTTAAAATAGGGCCGCTGATTTCAGGTTTAAAAAATGAGTATTTATATTCCCACAGCAAGCCACATCCTTTCTTCTGAGCAGTTAAGAGATGCCCTGGGATGAAGGCTGAGTTGTTGGCTGCGTGAGCAGCTGCTCCATATTAGAGCAAGAGGAAAAGGGACTTCCGGAGGAGTTTCTCCAGGCAAAAAACAAATGGGCTTGGTGGCTTAACTGCATGGAGCAGAGTATTTATTAATAGGATATGTTTTACAAAGGTATTGGAGAACTGAGACAAATTGTGACAAGACCACAGAGTCAAGCTTGTAAAAACAACACAGTCATCAACTCCAGGCGGAAAAAGTTGTGCAGGCAAGGAAACAGTCACTTTTCCCTACTGGATCTGGCAGAAAATAACACTTACATAGTAACAAGAAGTTACACATTAAAATTTTTGAAAACAACAGTGTGATATGAGGCAATGAAGGAAGGAACAACGGAAGTTCTGGTTTGGTGAAGGGGTGCTAAACCACCATCTTCTGGAACAGGAAGTCAAGACAAAATAGCATTAGCATAGCAAGTGGTTGTGGTTTATAAGCATGTTATAGTGGTTCTTTTCACTTTCTATGAAGACAAAACTATTTTCATAGAATACTAAGATATTATTTGCCTTTTCACTGTGTTAATATTTACACGGATGGTGCAAAAGCCACAATGGGTAAAACTGTTGGTGCTTTAGCAGCATAAAGCTGATGAGTGGTCACTGTGTTTTCCGTTGTCACACTTGCAGTTTAAAAAAAAAAATTCAGG